AGAGCAGTCATTTTTGGTGTTTTGCTGGGCAGCTGTGGTCGTCGAACTGAAGGCTCTGTCGTCTCTGTAAGCTACGAAAATCTGCTTGTTGTTCACGTGATCAGCTGCTTTATAGTTCTTTAGAATGACTTCATTCATTTTAACTGATTTACTGTTATCATTTTATATTGTTTATATATGGTTTAGTGATTGTTCTATTTTATTTAGGCTGTTCATTAATTTATGGGATTTCTCTTCATGTATGCTTTGTCCCGCTCCCGCCTGCAGGGGGCTGGTTACCCACCTGCTCCAGTACACAACACTTAAAATTAGTGTGCCACAAGATATTGTGGCAGGTCCTGCAGGTCCAATACGAATCCAGGGTAGTGCAGAACTCTAATCCCATATAAATCAAAATAATGTGTGCTCACGATTTAAGGCACAATCTCGTTCCCATGACTTAATTATTTCGATCCAACGGCTTACTAAGTCATGGCCACGCATTAGGATCTCGCTGCCATGCCTTACTAAGTTGTGGCCACGACTTAATTATCTCGTTCCCATGCCTTACTAAGTCATGGCCGCACATTAGGATCTCATTCCCACGTTAATACAGCGTGAACATGCATTGTTTTATTTTTTATGGGATGTCACTAGCAGGGCTCTGTATGAAATAGACATTAAGCCCAACTTATAGTCCACACAACAAGCATCCCTTGACAGAAAATGACGTAAAAGAGATAGAATTTGTGTCTGCTAAGGTTGTTGTGCTCATGGTGTGGGGCTGTGTTTACTTTCTTGCTGCTCTGCTGTTTTCAGAAACTGAACAGGTTGCCAGCTATTCAGAACTGGGATCTATATATATTTATAAAATTATTTGTTTTCATTTTCAAACTTTTTTCTGTGACTGTGATTACTTTAAAAACTAGTCCAGATAGAAAACTCTTCATCTGTTATCTGTTCAGTGCAGTTTCACTGTTTTAGTAGCTGCATTGTCATACAAGTTTTCAAACCATAAATGATGATGATGTTCTATTAAAATGTTTTCTCACTGGTGCAGGACTATAGTCGCTTTTTCACTGCATGGTAGCGGCTCGGCTCGGCTCAACTGAAAAAACATAAAAAACGCAATGGGCTACTGATCGGTCGGAGAGAATTGCTAAACACATTTGCTAATGTTAGCTACTAGGTTAGCGTAGCCTCTTGCATCGCCTTTTCTGAGCAACCAGATTCGTCTCGTTGTCTGAGCTCTGTCTTTTCTCTGTTTGTCTTGCTACCAGCAGCCTCTTCTGAACAAGATTTGTCTTCTCCACGTTATGGCAGTTTCATTCAGTGTTGCTATGATGACCAGCTACACTGAGGGGGCGTTATATCTGCAGTGGAAAACAAAGTAGCTGGTACCAAAAGCGAGTCAAGCCAAGTCGAGTTAAGCCATACCATGCAGTGAAAAAGCGGCTTATGAAAGCCTACATTACTGTGACATCACAGTTTTTATCAAGCAACACTTGCCTAGACTATGAATTGGCCTTTAAAATGTCACACAGTTCTCAGTAGTGAATTACAAGCAGTGCTGTTGTCAGTGCTGCTCTCTCTTAGGGCCAGACCACCCTGAGACTGCTCGATCTTCACGGATCTCGGAAGGTGGGAAGAGTCGGGCCTGGTTAGTACTTGGATGGAAGAACGCCAGAAATACCAGTTACTGGAAGCTTTTCACTCGCTCAGATTGAAGAACTCTTTCATTTTCTTTTCATTTCTCTTTCCTTTTTTACAAATTCTCTCTTTCAGTGTGTGAATCATCAGTAATTAATCCCGGGTATTTTTCTACTTGTCACGCACTCTCTGAAAGAAACGGACTTCATCTCCCAGAATCCTCTGGGAGATCACATGACTCAGCAACTTCCCTCGGACTCCATTGCTCACAATTCTATGGGAGATCACGTGACTTCTGACACTGGCTTACGTTCCAATCAGCGCTCCAAATCACCTGAATATTAACTGGCAGCACCTGTGTAGTTTACTTTATAAGCCCGGGCTTTAGTCTAATTCAGTGCGAGGTATTGTTTCCTGTTGAACTACCGAGCGTTTGTATACTGACTGCCTTTATCCCGTGTTTGAACCTTTGCTTTGTGTATATCGACTTTGCCTTTTTGTCTTTTCCCTTTTGTGCTTTTGCCTCTACGGACTGATCTGTGTTTTGGAACTTTTTGCCTGTATTTTTGACTTCGTCTTTTGCTCTGCCCTTTTTCGGTTTGTTCGCCTAGTATTATTATACGCCAGCATCTTTTACTTCCGCGAGCGTCTGGTTTCTGTTGATACGTCACACTACTACAGGTAACGACCAGTGATCACATTTATGACAAAGAATGGCAAAGAATAACAGCTTTATTCTAAAAATAATAATAATAATACATTTTGGATGTATAGTTAAATGTTTATGAGACTAGTAGCCTAATGTGTATATATAAAGTGATCGAGCCGCCTTCTTACAAAACAATAAATAAAATAATCTTGCCACCTACAAGATGTTTCATGTCTGTTTATTTTACTAATGGTTTTTAAAGGGTTAATAAATGGAAATTAAACTTTTACATTAAAACAATCCTGTAGTATAATTGTAAATATTTGGACTCCAAACTGAACGAGTGCATAAACAAGAGAAACAGCTACATGCAGAAATTAATTCAAACATATATTGATATTCTGTAACGTCAACCTTCCCATAATGTCTGTTTGAGTTAATCACTGTATCGGTAAAAGTGAAATAATGAGTTTGGTGTCACTAATAACTTACTATTAACTCACTGCTGGACTTTCAGATCAAACATACTGACCTCTTTACTGACACCTATTGGCTGTTTGAGCAAACGTCTAATAATAAAATCAGTTTATTATTTTTTCACCACAACTATTGTTCTTCCCCTTTCAGCCATATTTACTTATTTTATTGTTATTATTTACTTATATTACTATTTTTGTGTATTTTTTTATTACTAATCTAATCTGCTTACTACACTCTCACAAAGTTGGTTCTTTGAGGGTTCTTTAGTTAAGACAATGGTTCTACATAGAACCATGAATACTCAAAGAACACTTTGCATGATTAAATGGTTCTCTGAGTGGTGAAAGTGTTCTTCAGACTGATGGAGACTGTGTTGTGTATGGTTCTATACAGCACCAAAAAGTGTTCCGCTATTGTTACAAGCTTGACATTGTAACAGCTTTTTAGTGCTATGCAGAACCATTTTCTAAAGGGTTCTATATAGAACCATGTATAACACATCTCCATCTATCTGAAAAAACATTTCACCATGCAGAGAATCATTTAATCATGCAAAGGGTTCTTTGAGTGTTCATGGTTTTATATAGAACCCTTGTCTTTACTAACGAACCCTTGAAGAACCATCTTTTTGAGAGTGTAGTAGCAGATTAGTAATAAAAAATTGTAATAAAAGTAAATAAAACTGCTGAATGTAAACTGATTTTATCATTAGACGTTTGTTCAAGCAGCCACTAGGTGTCAGTGAAGAAGTTCCATATAGAACCATTTTCTTTACTAAAAAAACCCTGATCTTATTTAAGAGTGTAGTTTTAATTGGTTGTCCTAGTTGTCTTATTTGTCTTATTGTTTTCTAATTTTTATTTTTCTGTGCTGTTTTAATAATATGTTTAATAAGTCATTTTTAGCCATTTTCTTGGTATATTTTTACATCCATAAAAATAGTTTTACTCTTTTCAGTTTCTTCTTGTTTGTATAATGTTTAGCTACACGGCAAATGAGGGTCACCCTCAGTGTAGTCCCAGTTTAAGTAAAGATTGATCGATTTCTGATTATAATAATCCCTGTTTTATCTTTATTCAGCTGCAGAAAGTTTATATTAGGCTGTAATGAGCAACATTGCCCTATGAAAACTGAAAGAACTGAAGATAGAAAAGATCTCAACAGTGTATGTGACACTAATGGAATTTTTAATAACCTGTTACGCAGTGCCCTGCCTTCTCCAACAGGACGGGCCAGTTCTAAACCTGTCTGCAGAGAGTCATGATTACAAACAACGTATGAGATAACATGCTTTATTAAAAGAGATGGTTCTTCAAGGATTTTATAGTAAAGAAAATGATTCTATATAAAACCATGAACACTCAAAGAACCCTTTGCATGATTAAAGTTCTTTGCATCATGAAAGGGTTCTTCAGATTGATGGAGAATGTGTTGTATATGGTTCTATACAGCTTTTTGTAGTTCTACAGTTACAGACTGTAGTCCATTTGTTTCTCTGCATACTTTGTCACCCTGTTTTTCAATGGTCAGGACCCCCACAGAGCAGGTATTAATTGGGTGGCAGATCACTCTCAGCGCTGCAGTGATATTGACATGGTGGTGGCGTGTTAGTGTGTGTCTCGTTGGGGTGAGTGGATCAGACACAGCAGTGCTGATGGAGTTTTTAAACACTGTGTCCACTCACTGTCCACTCTATTAAACACTCCTACCTTGTTGATCCACCCTGTAGATGTAAAGTCAGAGACGATAGCTCATCTGCTGCTGCACAGTTTGTGTTGGTCATCCTCTAGTCCTTCATCGGTGGCCACAGGACGCTGCCCACAGGACACTGTTACCTGGATGTCTTTGGTTCTCAGTCCAGCAGCGACAACTGAGGTGTTTAAAAACTCCAGCAGCACTGCTGTGTCTGATCCACTCACACCAGCACAACATACACTAACACACCACCACCACATCAGTGTCACTGCAGTGCTGAGAATGACCCACCACACAAATAATACCTGCTCTGTGGGGGGACCTGTGGGGGTCCTGACCACTGAAGAACAGGGTAACACAGTATGCAGAGAAACAGATGGACTACAGTCTGTAACTGTAGAACTACAAACCGCTCCTGTATGGTCAGTGGGGCTGATAAAATGGACAGTGAGTGAGTGTATATACAGTCTATGGTGCTGATTCACTATATATGGAACCAGTGAGCGAACCCGAGAGCGTGCGCATGCGCATTTCCAGTCCTCCTGAGAGCGCTGCGTCTCTCCGGTTACAGCTGGGGACGATTGGCCTAAAACAGCGTGTTTATTTTTATTTATTTGTTCATTATTAAAGATTAAAAGAGGCTGGAAAATAGTCGTGTAAACATGAACGGTGACGTCATTAGGTTGATACGGGCCCTTTAATTGAACCGTTGTTGAGGTCCTGTGGGGATAGGAGGAGGTTCTGCGCCTGCAGCAGACTTTCAATTTCGTTTTCTCGTCTGTTTCGAGGAGGAGAGCAGAGCAGTTCTGAGCTCTACAGCCACCACTGGAACAGATCATTTTGGGTAAGTAACACTTAAGTAGTAGAAAATGTCGAAGGTGGAACATTTATAAAAGCCTTTTCAACATTCGGCTCCAGTGCTGAGCTGAAGGACAGTAGCTGCGTTAGTAAGCTCAGTGCAAGTGTAAACACAGCCAGCGGGGACTGTTTACGTTTTAAATGCGTTAAAATGTCTCACATTTAGCTCGGAGTCTGTTCTGTGAGACCACAGAGCACAGTTTCCTTCACATTTACTCTCAGACGTCGAATGAAAGCTCGTCGTTTCGCCCGCAGAAGAAACGAAAGTGATAGTGTTGTTGCTCAGTGGCTCAAATAACCTGTGGAACGCAGATTAACCTCAGCATAGCTCCACTTGGATATATAAATAACGTTTGTACAAATTCACTTATAAAAAAAATATTAGTTTATAGTTTAGTCTACTTAAAAAACAACAAGGACGCCGTTTCAACGAAGCTGAAGTTGGCGTCTTGTTCGAATTTCCCGTTCCACCTTAAATGGTACAGCAGTTACATTCTGCCGCCTCAGGCCAGGAGTTAAGAGAAACTTAAATCCGGCCTTAATACATTAATTCATGGCCACGACTTATTTAAAAACACAATCACTGTGTCAGCTCAGGGGCTCCGTACACCTGTTTTAAAGGGACAGTAACAAACATAGCGTATTTATTCCCAAAAGAAAAAGACGACCTGTAAAACGGTCGTGTTACACATGAGTTATGAGGTCATTAAGTGGATTAATGTGTGCTGTTGAGGTGCAGTGTGGATGGGAGGTTCTACACCTGCAGCAAAATTTCAAGTTCGTTAAAATATATTTATTTGTCACCACGCCTTATGGGAAATTAGTATAACAAGCTAACTTCAGCCTTGTACAGTTTGCCATCATTTAAGGTGGAACAGAAATTTGAATAAGGAGCCAACTTCAGTCTTGTACAGTTTGCCTGGACATTTAGGGGTAGTGTTTAAAGACAAGTCACTTCTATTAGTTCATCTTACCTAAAGAAAAGCAACAGTTTGCATGGATCTTTCTGTGTTGGTTTTAAGTCTAAAGAACTAATCCCTATCAGTTTTCTCCTAGAATCCTTTCTTTTTCATGAAGTAGTACTTACTGTGCTCTCACCATGCAGAGAACCATTTGAGCATGAAGTGGTTCTATATAGAACTCCTGGTTCTAAATAGAACCATTCCCTTTACTAAAGACCCTCGAACAACCATCTTTTTTTTAAGGTGTAGGTTGTGGCCGCAGGCAGAAAGCTGCAGGGGTGCTGTGAAAGAGTGAATCAGTATTAGTGACAAATAGTGTTAGATAGTGCAGAGTCCAGTGTGAGGCTGGGCCACTGTGTCAGAGTGATGAATAATGGCGCTGCCCTTCTAGTTTGCAAAAGGCCAATGCCACTGGATCTGTAGGCTTTTCTTGTTAAAGAGTGGTCTATAATTGTATTGTAAACAGTTCAGGGTTTGTAGAACAGCATAACAAGAAAGCCTGAGGCTGTACTGAAGGCCAAGTGTGGCTCTGCTCATTACTCTGTGGTTTATCACTTTATGGAGGTGCAAAGGTGATCTCATATGACCCACCCTTTTTAGCGTGTTCTGTCAGTAATATGTTATCACAAAGCAGCTGGTGGAATCAGAAAATCATTTACAGCAATGTGACCACAATAATATTTCTTATTCAAGCTATGGGGTATGCACCGTCACAGTTTGATTTTATTAGGGTTAAATCCAGTTATATTTATTCTCCTTAAAATCCTAACAACTATCAGCTTGATCTGATAAGATCACAAAAGATTAGATCTATATCTAATTGTGTTATTACATTGTAAAAAAAGGTTAATCAGTCCCACCAAACAAGTACATACAAATGAACAAGTTTTCTCAAGTAAATACGTATATACTTATATTTAGTTAGGTTGTTATTTTACTCGTTACCACAAAGTATTTTTTTGGGTCCACCTGATGAAGTGTTTTTATAGTGCAGTGTGCAAATATAGTGTCAAATCTAATATAAAATAATCATTCATTTTTCATTTTTATTTCATTGATTACTGTTGTTAATGCTGTAGTGTTGTATTTAGTCTACTATGTTTACAGCAGCTCTTCTCTGTCTGGTTCTATCTGCAGACATGCCCAGAGGTAAAAGGAACAAAAGATACATTCACAGTATACATGTGCTAAATAATCCGATTATGGGGATTATAGATTTCTTTGTTGGACTTCAAGAAATTCAACAGCAGCTTTGATCTGATGTCAGAAATTTTAATACGCTGTTTGCGCGTACACTTGAACAGTCAAGATAATGATCGTTTTATTGTGCACTCTAAAAAATTTGAGTTTGCTCAACATTTTACTCTTTTTCTTGATTACTCAACTCCTGTAAATAAATATAGTTCTGCTGTCTGACCAGGGCTGAACGATTTGGGGAAAATATCTAGGTTAAATTTTCTCCATTTAAAACTTATTGATAGTGTATTTTATGATAACAAAATGCAGCTCTTGCAATTTGAAAGTTGCACTATTTCAAATTGCGATTTTCGATATAAAACCGATTAATCTTTCAGCCCTGTGTCTAACGTTCTGTTATCAACACTAAAAGAGATATTTAGTTGAGCTAACATAAGAATGTTTGTTGTCTTAAGAAGTACAACTGGTCAAAACTTTCTTGAGCCATACCAACTTTTCTCCTTTCACATCTACAGCATTAGGTTGATGCTTTTATCCAGAGTTATGTAAGGTTTTAATCATGTGACAGAGGCAGGTGAATGTAGTGCCAGGCATCATGCTCAAGGACTCTTTTTGATTTAGCATGGCATTTTTGCCTAAGCAGAGAACTGAACCCTAGTCTGCTATTGTAACATGGAGGGAGATAAAGAGGCAGGAAGCAATGCAAGTCAGTGTCTTCATTGAAATCCATAGCAAGTCACAAAAGAAATGAAACAAAGAAAGATTACTAAGGATCCAAAAACTAAACTAAACTAAAACAAAAGACTAAAGGGCATACATGAAACCACAAAACAGGGCCTGAGAAAACAAAACACCAAGCAAACCCAAGACAAACAACTAGGGGTATAAATACAGAGGGAACAAACCAGGAACACTTGGGGAAAATGAAGGTAAACAAAGGCAGACACAGACAGAAACAAAGAAAGACAAGGCAGGGCAAGACATGTGATGGGCAACAGTGCTAACCACTACACTTCACCAGCCCTTCCTTACAGTGCAGTACAGAAAATATTGTGTTTAAAACTTGTTATTTTTACATAACAGAGTATGATGTCTTATATATTTGTTTAATCAACTTAATTAAGAAGTTTAAGTTAGGTTTTTTTATAGTCCGTCATGCAAAGTTCAAGACTTCACAAAGGTCACATGGCCTGTCTTTAGCATGTCAGTATCAGTACTCAGCACATGGAGTCTTATTTATATACCCTGCAATAAATGACCAAGTGGTGTCTGATTATGCAGGGATTGGTGTAGTGTAGTGAGTCACACTGCTGCTGACCACACGGCAGATTAGGTTCAATTCTCTGCCCAGCAAAAGAATCCTTGAGCACGACGCCTAGCACTACATTTGCCTGCCTCTGTAACCTGATTAAAACTGTACGTTACTCTGGCTAAAAGCATCTGCCAAAATGTAATGTCAAAGGTCGTTTGATTCAAGAGTTTTGACTAGTTGTACTTATTAGGACAACTCTTATGTTAGCTCAAGTAAATATTTCCTTTAATGCTGATAACAGAAAGTCAGTCAGTGCAACTAAATTATTTAGGTAACTTGAGTAAACGAGAGAAAGCTAATTGAAATTGGCACTAAGATCTATTTTGTTGTGCAAACTCAATTTTTTTTGGAGTGTAAAGTTGCAAACACACTTTTTATTTCTGGTTCCAGGTTTAAAAGCCAACTGACAGTCATCAGTCATGTCGGATGAGGTACAGCCCATGGAACTTGATGTCACCCCTGTGAGTATCAGTCTTGATTTTATTAATACCTTTGTCTCTACTCCAAAACCCTCTATACTCTGCATGTTTTTGTACACTTAAACTCATTAACTAATTACCATCCTCCTGATTCAGGCCTTCATATGTTGAGCGCCATTTATTAGTATGATTTATTTGGACAATCATCTAATATGATCACATGTTTAACTGATGATACCTTGCACACCAAATTTTTTTTCAGAAAATGTAGAATTATTTAATTCGCTCTTTGTTTGATTTTTGCAATCTTTGGCTGGTGACATGAACTCATTAACCAATCACGGTCGTTTCTGGAGTTGGCATGGCAACAACCAATACTATGGATTGGCTGTATCCCATAGGGATAAGGCACGAATGTGATGACTTGAGACTCAACTCGACAAAATCAAAAGAGACTTGCGACTCGACTTTTATTTGAACACAAATGACTTGGACTTTGACTCGGACTTCAGCATTGAGACTTGGAACGACTCGAGGCTCAAAGTGGAAGAAATGTGGTGAGTCTGACTGCAGACAGGACTCTTACTTACTCCGCTTACTTTTCATGTGCACGGATTTGTTTCCTGTCATAAGCCTGATCTACAGCAGCATCGTCAGATGTCTGTTACTCAGTTTATACTCGGCTTATATTATTTTAAGAAGAGAAGTGAAGCATTTAGAGTTGAAGTTCACCTCCATAAGTTGGAAACAAGCGAAGCATCAATAAGCCCAGCTCGGCTCTTAAACTCCAGTCTTACTGGAGAAACTCACTAGGCGAGCTGACCATATTCCTCATGGTTGTAAAACAAAAGAAACACAGCTCACTGTTTGACCAATTAATTACTGAATAATAAGCCTTAGTATGTAATATTTTAAGGGATTAATATGCAGACATGTACCACTAAAATGCTGTCATTTAAAGGCTATAATACTGTTACTGTTGTATTACTTTTGGTGTTCAGTGTGAAAATAGCCTTGAAGAATGCAGACTGACTTGTTCAGGCCTCAAAGATTAGGACTTGGGTCTTGGCCTAAGACTTGCCTGTATTGGCTTGGGACTCAAGTGTCAAAAATTGAGACTTATTTGTTACTTGCAACTTGTTCCCACCTTTGACTATAACTCTTGACCAATGCTAAAAGGACCAGAATCTCCAAAAGCAAAAGAGGTTATATGTGGAAGAACTCAGAGTTTCAGTTTCTGAGTGAAGTGATGAGGAGGTGAAGCTCTCCATGCTGCTTTCACTATTCCAAAATGGAAAGTAGCCCAGTATCACTGCTTACATGCTCTGTGAGGACCAGACAAGCTCTTCTTTGCACTTTAAGACATTGTTTTGTGCTTTGTCTCGTGTGGAGCTGCATCTCTGAAAACAGCTCAAACTCAGCTGAGATCCCAGCTGTGAGTGAAAGCGCTCATGAAGTTGTATTTCCTAAATGAGCCAGAGAAACTCTCTGCTCAGTGGAAAGCATCAGTGTCACAGTTTGCCCATTTCATGACAAGCAAAAGAGATTTTTTATATTAATGTTTTGCATTTTATGCTATTTTTTTCATGTCACGATTGTTGTGTAACAGCTTTTAGAGTGAAGAGTTCCCCAAAATCTAGAATTCATGGGGTCTCCAAGACTGTGATTGGGAGCTCTTCTCAACAGGCTTACACTGGTGCTTTACAATGAATATTATAATGAAACATGTTATACATATTTTCACACAACCATTTTCACCTGATTTATACTCAACTTTGTCCCAAATCCAGACCCAAGACACCCAACAAGCTGCACCGCTGGCTGCTAACTTCCCACCTGTAAGTAACAGTTACAGTCCTCTTCATCATGTACAGCTCCGTTTCCAAAAAAGTTGGGACGCTGTGTACAATGTAAATAAAAACAAAATGTAATGATGTGCAAATCATGTAAACTCTATATTTAATTGAAAATAGTACATAGGCAACATATCAAATGTTGAAACTGAGAAATGTTATTGTTTTTTGGAAAAATATATGCCCATTTTGAACTTGATGCCAGCAACACATAAAAATGTGTTCTTGCTTACACTAGGATTTAAGGTGCTCAACAGTTTGGGATTCCTATGCCAAATGTTTCAGTGGGTGAAAGGTCTGGACTGCAGGCAGGTCAGTTTAGGACCTGGACTCTTTTATTACAGAGCCGTGCTGTTGTAATATGTGTAGAATGTTGTTTGACATTGTCTTCCTGACAAATTCAAGGCCTTCACTGAAAAAGACATCATCTGGATGGCAGCATATGTTGCTCCAAAACCTGTATGTTTTGTTCAGCATTAATGGTACCTTCACAGATGTGCAAGTCACCCATGCCATGTGCACTAATGCACCCCTATACCATCATGAATGCTGGCTTTTGAACTGTGCATTGATAACAAGCTGGGTGGTCTTTAGCCCAGAAGATGCACTGTCCATGATTTCCAAAAATAATTTTGCATGTTGATTTGTCGGACCACAGGACACTTTTCCACTTCACTTCAGTTCATCTTAAATAAGCTCAGGCCCAGAGAAGACAGCAGCATTTCTGGATCCTGTTTATATATGGTTTCTTCTTTGCTCTGGGTTTTAACTTGCATTTGTGGATGCAGTGATAAACTGTGTTCACAGACTTTTTTTTTCAGAAGTGTTTCTGATCCGATGTAGTGATTTCCACTACAGAATCATGTCTGTTTTTAATGCAGTGCCATCTTGTCCCTTGCATACAGAGATTTCTCTGGATTCTCTGAATCTTTTAATGAAATGATGTACTGTGGATGTTGAAATCCCCAAGTTCTTTGTTATTATATGTTGAGAAACGTTATTCTTGAATTATTGCACTGTTTGCCCGCACAGATTGTCACAGAGTGGTGAACCCCTCCCCATCTTTACTTCTGAAAGACTCAACCTCTCTAGGAGACTCTTTTTATACTCAATCATGTCACTGACCTGTTCGCAATTAACCATTAGGTGTTTTATGTAGCATTACACAACTTTACCAGTCTTTTTTTTTTGCCCCTATCTAACTTTTGTGGAACGTGTTGCTGGCATCAAATGCAAAATAGGCATATATTTTCAAAAAACAATACAGTTTTTCAGTTTCAACCTTTGAGGTCTTGTCTTTGTACTATTTTAGATCAAATATAAGGTTTAAATGATTTGCATATCATTGCATTCTGTTTTTAGTTAACATTTTGCACAGCGTCCCAACTTTTGTGGCGATGGGGTTGTACATATTTACACAATAATACAGGGGGTGGAGTGCTGTACAGTGAGATACTAGCACTAGCATGCTGCAGTTGTAGCAGCAGAGATAATATCTCACAGTATAGAATCACCTTGAGTGTATTATTTTGATTATCCACTGAATTATATATTTGCATTGTGTCACAAAAAATCAGAAGGTCAAAACTGGACACGTGAATCATTTTCCACTAAAATAAAAGGAATGTTTTACTGAAAAATCCAATTTACACAGTTTCCCCCCTTACCTCAAATGTAGATGATTGGCTAAAACATGTTTGGTGGAGTTTGCTTCTGTAGGTTTAGCACTGGAGCTATGAGGCGATTGCTGCTAAAAAGTAATGGAAGTCTGTATCACCCAAAATTATCCTTGTAGCTCCTGTGCAAAACTAAAGAAGCAAACTTCACGAAACATGTCTTAACCAATCTTCTACATTTAGGGTGAGGGGGGAGAACTATGTAAATTAGATTTTAAAATAAATGAATGTCCATGTCTTTGTATGTGTTTTTTTTTCAGCTGCATGTCAAGGACAGGCACTCTCATCAGTTTAATAGACAGATTTAGTTCACTGTTTTGATTTAATTGCTGACTTTGACATACTAGAAAAAAACAAAATATAAATGTGACAAAACTCAGCAAAACACTAAAATCTAGAATGCATGGGATCCCTATGAATGGGAGCTCTCCTCTACTGATTTAAATTAGTGCTTTACAAAGAATGTTACAAAGAAGCTCATTTTTAACATGTACATATTTTCAGACACAAACATCGCCTGGTTTATACCCAAGCCTGACCCATTTACAAGACCCCCCGCAATTTTTAATTTCCCGCAATAATTTCCAGGTTGTGAGTAACAGTTACAGTCCTCTACATAATATACATATTTACACAATAATACACTCAGTAAGTAACCCTTAACAGTAAGATATTGGCACTGATGCACTGTAGTTGTAGCAGCAGAGACAGTATCTCACAGTATAGAACCACCTTGAAAGAACAGCGTGTCCCCAAGAAATTGACATCATTTGAGATGTGAATATCTGAGTAACTACATGTCTATGGCAAACAAAATTAAATAGGCTTCATGTTGAACAACACAAGATTTATTTTTCAAAATTCGAACAAGAAATTCAGAGGGTGTAGATTTTATAACCGATTGCACAAAGCTTCACAAGTGTTCAATATGCGCACCGCCTGTGGCACGACACGTCAAGTCCGTAGTCCAGCTCCTGGCAAACACGCTGTAGCATGTCTTGCATAACAATCTGCTTTCCAGTTGGTGCATTTTTATTGAATTTTCTCGAAAATGCATACTTCACACTCTTGTTTGACTGTGTTCGAGCATATTCTAACACACAAAATGCCTTTTCATTTCTAGTGAACACCATTCTTCAACCTGAAAAAAAAACATTAAAAATTAAACTTGGTTGGTTTTTAGACATTTTGTTAAAATTTGAGATCATTTGAAGGAGGATTGGCTGCGTTATTAGACTACAAAATGATGTCTGTTTTTTTGGGACATCCTGTATTATTGTGATGATACTGACACTGACCGTACCACAGTTTCATTGTATTTGCATTGTGTCACAAAACTTAAGGGATTACCTATACTGGAAACGTAAATCTAAAGGCTAAAAAAAGAAATGTACACTCTATGGACAAAAGTATTGGGACAGCTACACATGAGCTTTTATGATATCCTATTCTAAATCTATTGGCATTAATATGGAGTTGGTCACTGGTCCCCTTTTTGCAGCTATAGCAGCTCACAGTCTCCGCTCTGGTCCCAGCCATGCCTTTATGGACCTTGCTTTGTGCACTGGGGCAGTCATGCTGGAACAGAAAAGTGCCTTACCAAAACTGTTCACACAAAGTTGGAGGCGTACAGTTGTCCAAAATGTCTTGGTATACTGAGCATTAACATTTCCCGTCACTAAACCTAAGGGTCCTAGGTCAACCCCTAAAACACACCCCCATAGAATTATTCCTCCATTTTGCAGTTGGCACAATGCAATCAAGCAGGTAACATTCTCCTGGCATTCTCCAAACCTTGTGCTTGGTGATGATCAATAATACCACTAACAGCTGATCGTGGAATATCTAGGAGGAAAGAAATTTCACAAACTGGCTTGTTGTAATGGTGGCATCCTATTACAGCACCATGCTGGAATCCACTGAGCTCTTTAGAATGACCCATTCTTTCACTAACGTTTGTAATGGCAGACTGCATGGCGAGGTGTTTGATTTTATACACCTGTGGCAATGAGAGTGAATGAAACACCTGAATTCAATGATAAAGAGGTGTGTCCCAATACTTTTGCCCATATAGTGTATATATATTCCAGTAAATTCATCAAATAAACAGTAATTGTGTGTTTTCTCTGTCGAGGACTTATTTTATTATTCCAACTAATTTTCACTTACATCAATACATGTGATTTGACCAAGACTTTTGTATCTGCTTAGGAACACAGGCGTTTGTTATGTCCGATGACAGGATTTAAAGAGGCAGAGGCCTTGTGGAGGGGTTCCCTGGGTGTAACTGGATTTGCGGGGCTGATACTAGACTGTATCATTATACATTCGGGTTGGACGGCTTTGAAGTTTATCTGAGTGGAGGATCCTAATGTTTCAAAAGAAAACAGTCACCTCATGTGGGCATTAGTTTGGTCAGACAATGCTTATTTTTAGGAATTTAATATTAGCAAATTGCATTTGACCCACCAGCTTCTCTTTTGGAGGATGTTTTTCTCTACTCACTGAGTTATGAGACTGTGAAGAGGGGCTGAGATACACGTCATCTGCGTCTCACTGTATGGAACTAGTAGATTTGTGTGTCTGTCTACATTCTGTGTGAAACTGACCAATGGACACTCAGGAAATCACTAAGGACTGACCCATCACAACGGAAACCCTTCATTCTTCATTCAGTCCAAATCACCAAATCCAAATCAAGACACATGAACATTGCTGCAGCAGTTTTGGAAAGTAATGATGAAGATAACAGAGCATTTTGATATGAAACATATGAGTATCATGTCATATGGAAGAGCCTTTAAAGGAGAATTTATCTAAAAAAAATTTAGATATGCGCAAATTAAAAAAAGGCCCTCAGACCCCAGAGGGTTAACCTCAAATCATTGCAGTGCTTAAAAAAAAACACATCTACCCATATCGCAATACTATACCATTTCTAAGAGCATAACTAGTTTATAACTGTTGCACTCTCTTTTCCAGCAGCATAATGCCCCTGCTGTTATTACACAACCCAGGAGTGTTAAAGAAGAACTTGAATCTCAACTTGGGACCCCCAGACATATGCCTAGTTCAGAGGTTTGGGTTGATTTCTTGTTTTTATCTTTTGTTGTTGTAATGCGGTGGCTTGCCAGAGGTGGGATTTGAACTCAAGCTGTCTGGGTGGTGTCTCAGAGGCCAACTGGGTGAGCCACCACAGAGCTTTGGAAGGCAGGACCCAAATACTAAGTTTATGTGTGATTGGAAGGTATGATTGAAATAATATACCTCACACCCACGCCGCCGCATTGATAAACCGGCGCTCTACCACTGCACTATAGAGGCCGCGTCATGCAGTGCTGGAAGGGTTCACTTTAAAAGGAAACCAGGAAGGAGTGCTTGGCTCCCTCCAGCCAGTGCCTCCACTCCTCTAGGGCCAGTTTCACGGCTAGCAGCTCATGGTCGCCCATGTCATAGTTTTGTTCTGATGGAGAGAGGCGGTGAGAAAAGTAGGCACTGGGGTGTAGCTTCTGGTTAGTACCGCTGGGACAAAACCACACCCACGCCTATCTCAGAGGCATCCACCTCTACCACAAAGGGGAGCTCTGGATCAGGGAGCCGCAGCACTGGGGCTGAGGTTAAACGCCGCTTGATCTCCTCAAAGGCTTCCTGGGCTTCTGGAGTCCACTGAAACCGCCCAGAGGTCTTCCTCGTGAGGGTGGTCAGGGGTGCAGCTATAGAGCTGAAATTCTTCACAAACCTCCGTAAGAAGTTAGTGAAGCCCAGGAAGCGCTGGGCCAGGCGGAGTGATGTAGGTCGGGGCCATTGGGCCACGGCCTGGACCTTGGCAGGGTCCATGCTCAGGCGGTTCTAAGACACCACAAACCCGAGAAAGGCAACCGTCTGAACATGGAACAACGACTTCTCCAGCTTCACAAACAGGTGATTATCCAGGAGAAGCTGGAGGACCCGTCGGACATGGGCTATGTGTTCATCTAGACTCTTGCTGTAAATTAAGATGTCGTCTAAATAAACGAACACATAGCAGTCAAACCCCTCTCTCAGCACCTCGTTGATGTAGCGCTGGAAGACAGCCGGGGCAGTCAGTCAGTCCAAAGGGCATGACTAAATATCCATAGTGGCCCGATGGGGTGATGAAGGCTGTCTTCTATTCGTCCCCCTCCCTGACCCTAATAAGGTTGTAGGCGCTGCGCATGTCCAATTTAGTAAAGAAGGATGCCTGCTGCAGTGCCTCAAAGGCAGAGGACATCAGAGGCAGAGGGTAGCGGTCCTTGACCGTGATCTTGTTGAGCCCTCTTTGGTCGATGCCGGGGTGCAGGCCCCCATCCTTCTTCCCCACAGAGAAGAATCCTGCCCCAGCTGGGGAGGTGGATGGCCTGTTGATGCCCATGGCCAGGGACTCTTAGAGAAAATAGCCGGCCCCGAGGGGGACTAGTGCCGGGTAGTAAATCAATGGCAATATCGTGAGGCCAATGGAGGGGCAGGAGCTGAGCTTGTTCCTTACTGAAGACCTCCTGGAGGTCCCAGTACTCAGGGGGGGACTCGAGAGAGGTCAGGGGTTTCTGGACTGGGAGACAGGGAAGCCATGCCACTGGGCCTGGGGTTTTGCAAACAGGAGTTCTGGCAGAGGGGACCCCAGGAACGGATGGAACGGTTCAGCCAGTCCAGACAGGGATTATGACGCTGGAGCCAGGGAAAGCCCAGCACCAACTGCACACTGGGGGCACTGATGAGGTATAAGGACACTTTCTCACAGTGCTGTCCTATGTGCAGGCTGAGTAGTTTGGTCTGCTGGGAGACTGCCCCTGACTCAAGGGACTGCCCATCGATGGCTGACACAAGAAGGGGCTTGTCCAATGAGACCAGGGGCACCCCAAGGGCTTTGGCTAGCCCAGCGTCAATAAAATTCCCTGCAGCCCCTGAGTCCACAAAGGCCTGGAGGCGTTCCTCCTTGTCTTCCCCCCATGAGATGGCGACATTGAGGAACACTCTAGTGGCTCTGGGGGATATGGATGGGTCCGTCAGGGGCCCCCCCTGCCCGTGATGGACGTGGCCATTTCCCATTAACTCAGGGCATGCAGGGCACAGATGAGGGAACACTGAAGGAGAAAACCCCGGCATCCTCCAGGATCCCCAGAGTAATGCTCTAGTAGGTGGGGCTCCTCAGCAACCACCACTGGAGGGGCAGCCTGCTGTAAAGCTGCAGTGAGGCCCTGCAGCTGAGTTAGTATTTGCTGCAAGGCCTGCACATGCCTTCCAATCGCAGCCCCTTGGTGAGCCAAGGCAATCTTAACCTGATCCAGGTCAGGGAGCTCAGCTTGGTCCATAGGTTGGCTGAGTCTTTCTGTAATGTGGTGGCTTGCCAGAGGTGGGATTTGAACTCAGGCTTATGTGTGATTGTAAGGTATGATTGAAATTATATATTAAAGCGCGGAGTAGAAAACGGGTAGAAAACAAACAAACGGGTAGAAAACAAACGGCAGTACAAAACCCACCTACTAAGGCTTAGGCGGGAAAAGAACAAGGACACCAGGGGAAAGACTGGCTCTCTCAAACACTGAGGAAAGGCTAACTGAAATAAACTAATTTCCCAACAGAAGAGAATGCCCAAAGGAGAACGAAGAGGAGAAAGGGACAAACCTGTTCCTTCTCTTGCTTTACGTTTATTTCTTTCTCTTTTTTTCTCTTTTAGACAGAAACTCGAGAAAGAGGATAGGCTTGAGAAGTGACAGAGAGAAAGAAGCTCTAGAGAATTTCTCTAGAGCTTCTACCTGAAATTACTGGCCGGTCTGTTTGCCAGAACTCTGAAACAAAGACTCAGCAAAGTGTGTCTTCTTCCCAGCCCTTATAAAGCCCCCTGAGCAAGTGTGGCTCATTTGGCTGGACTGGGTCGTTGACTCCCCCTAGTGGCCAGCGGTGGCCTAGCCCTGGAGCCAACCCTTACAGTTGTTATATTGTTCAGTGACTGTATCTGATTTCCTGTGATAAGTATTTTCTTGAAGTTACTGTATTAGGCCATTTTTGTCCTTCAACAATTGTATTGCATCTTCACTGTCATCAGACACATATTGATGCACATACCAATACAGTAATTTCTCAATTTAGCAACCAAGAAAGACTTCAGACCATCTGCGCCATTAAGAGTACAATAAAACAGCACTCCAGCATGAAAAATGCATCAAGATCTCACACTCAGCTACTACACTACACTACACCAAAAAGGGTTCTTCTGTTGTTACGATGTCAAGCTTGCTACAATAGAAGAGCCCTTTTGGGGCCTATAAAGAAACCTTTTCAAAAAGGTTCTGTATAGAACTATCTACAGCACATTTTTCATCAGTCTAAAGAACCCCTTCATGATGCAGAGAACCCAGAGCCAAAAAGTGTGTGTACAGTTACCAATCCATATTTTTTTTCTGAAAGCTTACAAGCTGTCTGTGAGTAATAGAATACCTCTGTCAACAATGAGTAGCTGTATTCACTCAGTAGAAGGACATTCTGCATACTTTTGAACGGATAGCATACACAGTGCAAAGGACAAAATAAAACTAATGTAATTGAAATAGACTTGCTGTGAATCTGTTCAACACCAGAGCAGAAGTACACATTAATCAGTCTTTTTTGTGTATATACCCTTTCAGGATGCTACTGCAGCAGAAATTAATGCACAGCAAGAACATGTCACGAACAAAGCTTTTCAACAAGGGGGAGAGGTAAGGTATTACATTTATGTGTTGTCGCTGTCCAAAGAAAAACGTTTATGTATTACTTTTATTATTATTATATGTTTATGTTGATTTTTCTGCATCATTCTTAAAGTCAAATAACCCCCTGAAACTCACCGTCTTAAATAATATAAATATCATAGTCTGGTAGGGTGGAGCCATAGATATGCATAACTAGGTGCCGTGTTGGGTCCCGCCAGGTGTGTCAACGACACCGCCATTTTGGGGCAGTCAACATCATTGCTGGACTGCATTCAGTACCATTACAGAGCGTCAATTTAAGAAAGATACCAAAATTATACTATTTCAAGAATATTGAACTCAGAAAGTCGAATAGGATTATTTAACTCTTGTGTGGTGTTTGTGTTTTTGTTACTCAGTGGTCTGGTGGACCCATTGCATTATGTTTATTTTTCATTTTAATCAATACAGCCACAACAATTTATGTAAAAATACCAGATGTTTAAAATATCACAAGTGGCCAGCGTAGGGTTCTCCTTTAGCCACTGTACCCAGTCAGCAGCCTTTACATGTTGTCCACCCTCACACACACACACATATACAAACACACACACACACACACACACACACACACACAGACTAACAGCAGGCCATGTAGGAGGAGAACAGAGTAAAGGGAAACAGCACCTCCACACTATTGTTCCCTGTGGGTTCACCCCAACACCACATGTGTAATATAAATGCATAGGGGGTGAACAGTGTGAAGTTACTGAAAATGTGTATATGTTCTTCATAGAAAATGAGCGAAGGCCAAGGAATCTGAGGTTGAAATAATAAAAAAATCACATCATTTTTTTTTGGTAAACATTGAAAACGGGTCCCACAGAGCCCAATACCACACAAGGGATAACAGAGGGAACGCAGCGACCCATGCTCATGTTTGTGTGAGGTTTATATGTAGATATGGCCGTGTGGTTGGTGAGGCACACAAAACCTGTTGATGTGATTGTTTTTCCTCAGTTTTTTTATTAAGCTTATTTCATTTAATAGTCTGTTCAGGGGATCCTAACTTGTAGTGGTTATTTACAATAATGGTTCATACTTTGTAGCTAGATAAGTTATAGCATTCCTTAATCTGTGTAGATTTTCTTACTAGATTAGCGTTAGCACCTTCTTATACAAAGCTTAAGTCAGCTTCTTATTTGCCAGTATTTTGTTCAAATTTTACCGTTCCACCGTAAATGTTGCAGCTTCAGGCACCAGAAAGTGACTGCTGCACCATTTAAGGTGGAACGGGAAAATTCAGACAAGAAGCTGGCGATTTAGAAGTGTCCTTCTTACTGTGTTTTGGAGGGTTTAATTTATTTTTATGTGTATTAACATTAGAAGTGATTCACACATTGATGGATTTGCTGATGTGAGATCGTGTTTCTACTCACACTAAACTCAGTTTTTAACATCAGGTGCAGACTGAATACTTCCCTGTTGGTCCGGACGGCTAATTAGCACGATCACAGTTATTAAAGACGTAAAAGCTACTGAGAGCAGTCCATGCAACCTAGATTAATCTATGTCTGAGGATTATAACAAAACAAATTTGGTGAAAATCGGTTTAGTAATAAGGAAGTTGTGGCTGATTTAATCTCTCAGTACAAGTGAATTTGTTCACAAGCAGATCTTGACCGCTCCAACATGGCGAACGTGCAGACGTATTGCCTCAGATAGAGAACAACAGACAAATGCAGCATCTAGGTATGTATATTTTTATGGGCGAAACTACATGGAATTATTAGCAGTTTTGGTTTCTGTTACTGCTCATAGTCATGTGTGCACTTGGACAGATTACTTTTTTAATAAGTTAACACATTCTCAAAAGAGAACACACTTCTGCCACGATTTAATGCACAGTTACTGCTGAATTTAACATATTTGGAGGAAAAAACAAAACAAAAAAGGAAAACTCAACAGGAACATGGCAAAAAGAAGCTAAAATTAGCCTTGTAGTTTTAACACTGGTAGTATTTTTGATAAAAAGTTTTAGCCTATCAAAATATCCCACCCAGAGGTTTTATTTACAGGTATACCTGTAAATATGTGCTACCCACCTAGTTTTTGTGTAGCTTAGTGACATCAAAATGGTGCGCAGTAGCTTTAGCTTGCATGTAGCAATATTAGTATTAGAGCTCTTTAACGACCTCGTAATTCAGAGGATCCAGTGGTATTCGGGAGAAGAATGTACACAGGACAAAACGTATCGGGTTCTGAACATTTTTATTTAACACAGGGTGTGATAGAGGCGATTTTTCAAAAACCCTATTCATTCTGGCCATAGAGAGATGGAGCTTAGACGTGGAGTTCCTAATATGGGTATAACGCGGACTACAGAATGACGCACGACTGCAGTAGTCTATGCTATGTTCATGGTGTGTTGGTGACAAGCTAGCAGGGTTAGTTCAAGCCCAATATTGGATTTTGCTCAACTCTAGTTTAAATACAGACGTTTTTAGCTCTTAACAGGCTTACATTATAAGTCTCCATTTTTAAGTAACTCCTTCTTTATAAGCTTGAAGTCTGTCTTTTTTTACCCATTTAGCTTCTGCTGACCTGCTCAGTAAGTGAAGGCAGGATATATCCAGTTATAAAGAAAATTTAAAGTGTAAACTAGTTAAAGAGAGTCTCCTTGGAGCAAACTGTGATGTTCAACTGGCAATTCATCATCAGGTTGCCTGTTTCAAGTGAATCTCCCTGTAATTAATGTCATATAAAAATATAGCCTTAATCTTAATCTTTCAGTAATCTTAATCATTAGTCACAAAGTTCTGTTTAGAGCCTACACTAATTACTCACACTAATAAAGTCATTTTGTTGTAACTTTTTTTATTTTTTACCCGATTTTCTCCCCAATTTAGTCATCTCCAATTCCACCCGCTAGTTAGGACTCCACCAATCACACGATGCTATCAACGCTAGGAGGGTGAAGGCTAACACAGGCTTCCCCCGAGACCTGTGAAGCCAACCACCGCTTCTTTTCGAACTGCCGCTCACGCAACGTCACTGGACAGCTGAACGCACTCGGAGGAAAGCGCCAACCGCCAGATTTGTTACATCAGCTAACAGATGCCTGCGCTGACTAGCATTGCGCTGAGTGATGGTGGGAGAAGGGCAGCCATCCCACCCACCCAGAGAGAGCAAGGCCAATTGTGCTACGGATGGCTGTAGCATCACCAGGGATCGAACTCGCGTTCTCCTGATGATAGGGCCAACGCTTAGACGGTTGTGCCACTCGGGAGCCGTTGTAACTTTTTTAATTGCTCTTTTTAAAAATAAGCACACTTTCGTTGACTTTGTTAAAAACAGTACTGAAAGACCCTTCTGTTCCCTAACTGTATGTTTCAGATGTAACTGAAATACAGCAGTCACTTGAAAAATAAGGTATAATCTGTAATAAACTGTACACTTCACATTTCTAATCTAATCCTGCCTGTTTTTACAGATGCTGGACCTTTACACAGCAGGTGCTGAAGGGGCAAAACCTGAAGATGCAGCAAAAAGTCTCTCGGCCCCTCCAGATGCCCAGGTTAATATCAGTGTAGCACGGACAGAGCCGTTACCACTAACATATACAGCACAAAGTGCTTTGGAAAAGTTTTACCTCACTCTTATGTTATGCACATTTAGAATAATTGTAGAGGGCCATTTCATTAATTTAAGATGATTCATCAAATTCCTCATGTCTCTGTGGGATACCGGCCTCTTTTTCTTATCATTCGATATTTAAAGAGCTCAGTGTGATTTCTTTCTGAGACGTCTCTGATCTTTTAGCTTCAGCTGCTGTGTGAAAATCAGTGCAGTTTGAGCTGATGTCTGGATTTGAGTTAATCATGCATTCAGATCAACCAGCTATTATTTATTTAGTCTTAACATTTTCATTAACACATTAACAGACACGTTTCTATCAAAAGGCAATTAAAGTGATTTTAGATTTTATTTTTAATTGTCGTGGCTGAGCTTCCAAATACTAAGTAGAGAACCGAATACCAACGTAACAAACGAATAAACAAGTGTTTGAGTTATTCGGCACAACCCTATGGTTGTGTGCAAAAGTTTGGGCACCCCAGTTAAATTCCATGTTGTTGTTGATTTTCTAAGTGATAATAAATAAACACATTCTCTACAGAGAACACACTTCTGCCAAGTTTTAATGCACAGTTACTGCTGAATTTAACATATTGGGGGAAAAACAAAACGTAAAAGGTTTTGTTAAACTTTGGACTTTATGTTTTATTTTTTAGATAAAAACGAAATTGTGCACTAAAATTAGCAGAATTTGCAAGATGTTAGCTATTATAAAATGTATATCTGAGCAGACTCCCAGTGTGATATATAAAAATTACTGAATTTAAAAATGTGAAAAGGTTTCTCAAAGCTTTTATTTTTAAGATATACATATGTTATTGGAAGGTTAAACATATACAAAGTAAATGTAAATGGCAAAATGTAAACAGACAATACGTTAAATGCTTATAACAAGGATTTAATGTTATATAAAATATATATTTAATCTTTAGAATCAGAATATCCTACTTAGAGCCTACACCAATTATTCACGCTAATGAAGTCATTTCATTACAATTTTTAATTGTAGCTCAGGGGTCGGCAACCTGCGGCTCTTTTACTGGCCAGTTGCGGTGCCACAGCAGATTTAGAATTTTAGGTAAAAATAAAATAATCCTCCTTTGCAGTAAAATAAAGCTCTGCTGATTGTTCTAACACAGTTTAACAATAAATGGTCTTGAACGCTGCTAATTCACCACCCTGTAGGCTGACGTGCAGACTGCAGGTCACAGCAACGCAGACAATCTCGTCTAGCTAGTAGCTAACAAAACGGCAAAGAGAAATATTTAGGATGAACATTTGGAGACGAACAGACGTATTTGCATTTGTAAGCACAGGAGTTGATTTCCTGGTACGTTAAATCTGTAATGAGAAACTGTCAAACACTAAAAAGTCGCAACACTGAAGTCAGTTTCTCTTTCTAATTTTCCCGTTCCACCTTAAATTGTGCTGCATTTACATTCTGGCACCTCAGGCAGAATTTAAGGTGGAACGGGAAAATTCAAACAAGAAGCTGGAGAATGAGAAGTGACTTCAGCCTCGGAAAACAGTTGAATGTTGAGAGACCTTTTACAAGAAACTATTCTACTTGCATGCGATGCATCTAGGAATCGATTTTTCCCTCCACTCCTAGTTTAGAGTCAAGTGGAAAAGCCATGAAGCTGTGTCATTACACAGCATCATCTAATGTAGAAATCTGTTTTTAAACCAGCGCTACAATAGTGCTGTGTTCATGGCGTGTTAGTAACAAGCTAGCAGGGTTAGCTCAGCACTACATTGGATTTTGCTCAACTGTAGTTTAAATGCAGATGTTTTTAGCTCGTAACAGACTTGTACATAAAATTCTTTCCATTGTAAGTCTCCATTTTTAAGTAACTCCTTCTTTATAAGCTTGAAGTCTGTCTTTTATCTGTCTGTCAGTGCTAGCCTGCTAGCCGTTCAGCTTCTGCTGACCTGTTCGGCTAGTGAGGGCAGAATATAGCGAGTTATAAAGAAAATTTAAAGTGTAAACTAGTTAAAGAGAGTCTGCTTGGAGCAAACAGTGGTGTTCAACTGGCAATTCATCATCAGGTTGCAGTTTATGGGCCGAGACTTCAACAATAATAGCTGAACCTTTTCAAAGCGTCAGTATGAAGCAACATTCACATTAAGCTCTGTGCTGTTTATACTTGTAGCATTGCTGTTTCATCTATACTTAGCTATGCTGACAGCCGAAAACTGAATATTGTCCCAGAATGCCTCAGAGAGTTTTAAAGGTACAAAATAATAACTTAACAAATAACTTTCTTTGACTTTGTTAAAAACAGTACTGAATGACCTTCCGTTTGCTAACTGCATGTTTCAGATGTAACTGAAACACAGCAGTCATGTGAAAAACAAGGTGGATATAATCTATAATGAACTGTACACTTCCTTGAAGTTTTCCCTTGATGAGTCATCGTTTGTGATATCTGTCATTTCCAGTATGTTTCAGCATGTATCCCCTGACATTTCTAATCTTATCCTGCCTGTTTTTACAGAACCTTTACACAGCAGAAACAGGGGCAATAACTGAAGTTGCGGCAAGCAGTAATGATGCCCCAAATCTCTCAGCTCTTCCAGATGCCCAGGTTAATATCAGTGTAGAGTGGACACAGCCGTTACCCCTAACATATACAGCGCAAAATGCCTTGTGAACAAATTCCTGCACCCTTTATCTTTTGCACATTTTGAATTATTGTAGAGTTGTGATACATTATATTTGGGCCATTTTATTCATTTGTGATTCATTGTGTATTCATGACATTTCTTGTCTCTGTGCTATACTTGCCTCTTTTTCTTATTGCCTAATTTTTTAAAGCATGCATGATTTTTTGCTGTGATGTCTCTGATCTTTTAGCTTCAGTGGCCGTCTGAAAATCAGTGCAGTTTGAGCTTAATTATGTATTCAGATCAAACACCTATAATTTATTTAGTCTTAACATTTTCATTAATGCGTTAACAGATGTGTTTCTACCGAAAGGCAATTAAAGTTATTTTAGGCTTTAATTGTCATGGCAGAGCTTCCAAATACTAAATAGAGAACCGAATACCAATGTAACAAACAAATACTCGAGTGTTTGAGGTCACGACTCCCTTCAGCTCTGTGGTCTGCTTGGACTCCATCTCCCAGAACCCCTTGGGGGAGCACATGACTCCTGCCTTGGTCTCGCTCCAACCAGCGCTCTAACTCTGCGGAGTATTGATCAGTTTCACCTGTTGTTCAAAGATTAGTTCAGTATAAAGCCCGGGCTTGTAGGCTAGGTTGTTTGCAAGGTATTTTTTCTTTTCTCAAGAGCTACTGAGTGTTTCGTCTGGTGCTGATTATTTTGCCCTCTTTTTGACCTGCCCTTTGCCATAACTACTTTTTTGGGCTGTTTACCTGGTTATGTTTGTGTTTTTGTGTTTCTTGCCCTTTTTGGACCTGACTTTTTTGACTTCGATTGTGGATTGTGTTTTCATCAGTAAAGCCTCTCGTTCAACTTCTACCCACGAGCATCTGCGTCATTCTGTCGTGTTACATTTGAATTATTCGGCCCAACCCTGCAGTTGTGTGCAAAAGTTTGAGCGCTCCTGTTAAATTCCATGTTGTTGTTGATTTTCTAAGTGATAATAAATAAACACATCCTCTAAAGAGGACACACTTATGCACATTTTATATACACAATTACTGTTTACTTACTGACTTCAACACACTGGTAAACTATAAAAACTGCTCTAAAAATAAAATAGAAAAGATGTCACGTTTAAGTGTTTTCTTTGTAGAAAGTGTGTTAGCTTCTTTTCACTTAGAAAATCAGCAAAACATGGAATTTGACTGAGGTTCTTCAAACTTTTGCACATGATTGTGTAAAGAACAGCTGGCATTTTCAAATTGTGTAAAAAAACAAAAAAAATTAAAAACAACCAAAATGATTTTCCTTGGTTTCCTCTTTTTTCGTCATTTCTTATATTCATCCTTTCAGTGTGTATTCAACGTTTCATATCCCTTATCTAATCCTGCTTTTTTTATTTCAGGACAGCAATAGATCAGCTAATGCAGGGACAGCAGGTGGAGCCGAACCCTCGGCCCCTCTAGACTCTGTAGAGGTTAATATCAGAGTAGAGTGGACACAGCAGAAGTTACCAGAGAGATGGAAGGCTCGTCTGCAAGTAGCTCTTCAGAGCTGGTCCAATTCAACACTGTCTGAGCACGTGGGAAAGCACTGCAATGTTGTGAACCTTCAACTTTTGGATGATCCCTATTATGCAGTGGTGAAGATAAGCCCATCGAAAGGTGAGAACTTGTTTTTGTAAATTAACTATAATGTCATTTTGTACTAAACATTACTGACATGATACAAAATATACTAGCTCACAACTTTATTGGAAAAAATGTCACTCTGAAAGGCACAGTAACAGAAACAGCCTGTATAATTCTAAAGGGGAAAAAAGAGTGAAAAATCATCATGAAGAAATGATCATGTAAAAATGATCTGTAAAAATCATCTACGATATATGAGCGAAGGGAAAAAAACATTTTTGTAATAATTCACTTCATAATTATTGTCCCATGTAAAGTGCTTGGTTTTTTTTATTTTTGTCTTTTATTTTAGCTTTGGATGTTTTAAAGACACTGAAAAGTGGAAATTTAATATTTAAGGAAGCCAAACCTGTTAAATCAACACAGGCTATAGTGCACTTTTTGGTGGATGAAACAAAGACTCTGGATGAACCACAGAAATCAGTACCCACAGTGGAGGAGGAGAAGGTGCCCGTCTCAGAGGTAATTTGTGTTTATGGATTATTATGCAAGACATTATATATCTTTATTATTTTTTTTATTTCTTAATTTTTTCAGTACTTTGCACCTCCCGTAGTGTAAGGACTTTATTAACCCAGTGGGTAGCATGACTTTAGGGTCAGCCTGAGCATGTGAGGAGAGAGGATTCAGTGGTTCAAAGTCAATTATTTTGACATCCCTGGTCAAATTACGTGTTTTGTTAAGTTTAAATAACTTAACTCATCCTCTACAGAGAATACGCTTCAGCACATTTTAATACACACTTACTGTTTGTTTGTTGAGTTTTACATATTGGGGAAAAATAAAATGCGTCATAACTTTGGCACAGGCCATAGTTTTTTTTTCCCCCCAGTATTGTCTATCAACTTTTAAAACTTGCTTGTTTTATATAATGGAGCTGCCTTTGCTAAGTATAAACCTTATTTTCTGTGTTTTTAGGTGGACATGTTTTTCAAGGCCTTCATGGATTTAGACAAATTGCACCCGATTATTCAAGCAAAGCTGAAGAAGAGGTTTGGAAATCCTCTCTTTGGAAACAGTTTGTCATTTTCAGGAAACTTTGACGTAATTGAGAAGAAGTACAGAGAGGTTAGTGGCATTGTTAGAGAATCAGAAACTGGGATGGCTGCTGCTGCAATGAGAAGCGATCTAAATGGAGCTAAGATCCCACAGCATGTTGAGAGGAGTGGAGCTCCACCCACTGTTACTGTCCCCCTCTTTCATTACTGGTACTTCAGCCGTGCTTTCAAAAATGAGCTCAGCCAGTTTGTGAAGGAGTTTGGTGTTAAAATAAATGCTGAGGTGTTGGTTTCAGTTACTGCTCTGGATGAAACCAGAAGTGATGAAGTGGCTCAGAAATTTATAGACCTTTACCAGCAAAGCACACAAAACCTAGAGTCTGTTAACATCCCCGAAACACAACTGGAGTCAGAAATTGCTAAAGAGGTGGTGCGTAATGTTAAAGTAGACCAGACTAAGATGGTGTTAGACATGTCAGCTGATCAGTGCCTGCTATTTGGACCAGGACAAATTATATCAAGAGTTGAGAAGGAGATGAATCTGGAGTCCAGAACGGTGTTACCAAGATCTCACAGCAATGATATGACAAATAAAATGGAGACTGACACATCAAGAAGCTGGACCTTGGGAATGGTTATCAAGGACACTCCAGATCCAATCATGATGAATGAGACACACTATGAACTGATGAAGAAGATTTCTCAAAAACAGATTCATGATATTGAACAGAAATATGGAGTTGTGTTCACTGCTGTGCCTTCACAGGACTTCATTAAGGTGACAGTACAGTCAAACAATCAAGGTGTCAATCTTGAAAGCCACGCCCTCAGAGCCTTCACGCATCTCTATCAGAAGGTTGCCACTTCAGCTGTCACATGCACATTTAAGAACCCTGCTGAGGCGAAGACTGTAGGCCAGGCGCTGGAAAAACTCGGCTGTCAAGACCGTTTTGTCGGTGTACAGGAGAAAAGCAATATCCGAAAACTTGTTGGACTCCCAAAGCATCTCGGTCCTGCCATCGCTAATATAGAGAAGCTGGCTGGAAAGTCTGTGTTTGATGACAAGACAAAGAAATTAGTTGGCTATCCAGGAAATTTACCACTTTCATGGGGGCTTAAAGGAGGACAACAGAGAGCAGGTGCAGCTGGATGGACGCATGTACTTTCTCCAAACAGTGGAGCGCATGCAAACAATGAGCCAGGAAAAGCTGCTAACGAGAAAGAAAGAGATAAAAGCAAAGATGCTGACTGTCCAATCTGCATGGACAATTTTACTGACAAACAAAAAATGAAATGTGGCCATGAGTTCTGCAGAGAGTGTCTGGAGGCGTCAGTGAGGAGCTTGGGTGAAATCTGCCCAGTGTGTAAGGACATCTTCGGGACACTGACAGGAACCCAGCCTGATGGAAAAATGGACGTCTTTAAACGGCATTTTAATCTGCCTGGTTACTCTCGATGTGGCACTATTGAAATTGTTTACAGCATACCAGATGGCATACAGACGGTAAGAATTCACTCTAAACAAAAGGGTAAAACTTTATTTAGGCATCTCCAAGTATTTACAAGTGGTGTACACACAAAAAAATTTGCTAATAAGATTTCGAAAAATGCAGCCGAACTTGTTACGGTGCCTAATGCAGGTTTCCGGGAAGGAAGGGTACAGCACAGTTTGGTCATTTACTTGTTGAGTACACCCACAGATTCTGGTAATCAACTTATTGGTTAGATCAAATGTGTTTGAGCAGGGAAATCACCAAAATGACTTTTTCCTATCTAAATGGAAATTGGTGACCCGTGGTCTAATGACTAAAGGCTCTTAGCCCAGAACAGAGCATCAGCCTGTTACTAAAAGTAATAAAATTAGTAATAATAGTAAGAAAACATGTTTTTATATTTTTTATATATAAATTTTAATTTCAATTACAAAATCTCTAAATGCTTTACATAGATTAATGAAACAATGGAAAAATAAAAAAATCTAATCTAAATAAAATATGCTAGTCTAAACACAGTATTTTCTATGTGTCATTATATTGAATGACCTTCATTCTGCCATGTATATATATGTATTACTGTTGTGCAAGAAAACAGGACTACAACCAAATAGCAGTTGTACCAATTGTACAATTATAAATAAATAAATGCATAAATAAGTATAAGTGCATCTGTTGCAACCATAACGTGGCTGTTATGACTGTTTGTGAATTGTAAATTGGTAAATTGGTAAGTTAAAATTTCTGTAAAGGAGTGCAGAACCTAGCAAAGACTGTTAATCTTCAAAAATTATGGACTGCATTGTACATCTTAAGAGTTGTCCTGTTTAGAGTTTTGAAATGCAGCCCAGGTATGTGATCTTTCTTTGAGAGAATTTTAGTGATGTAACTGTAAAACACCCAGTCCAGCAGACAGGAAGAATTCATCCCACAATATAAATAAAAATATTCAGTATAATCAGAATAATTCTTTGTACAATATCATTATTTAGGACAGACATCCAAACCCTGGAAAACGTTACAGGGGAGCTCATCGCACCGCTTATCTGCCTGACAACGATGAAGGAAGGTATGTGCTGCAGCTGCTCAGGAGAGCTTTTGATCAGAGACTGATCTTTACTGTTGGGACCTCCACGACCACTGGAGCAGACAACTCCGTCATCTGGAACGACATTCATCATAAAACCAGCACAGATGGTGGGCCATCATGGTAAGAGTGACCTGAAGATAATGCATCAAGACTTCAGTTTTATAGTATATTTTTTTGATCGCCAAGTGAGCCACATTACGAGGTGCTCCTGTGATGAGCCTTATTTGTGTTGAATTTTTGCACTGTGGGTAAATGTGCATGCGTTACTGACCAATCTAATATCTCTTTCCACAGTTATGGCTATCCAGACCCCGATTACCTAAAGAGAGTGAAGGAGGAGCTGAAGGCCAAAGGCATTAAATAAAGATTAAAAAATAAATTGTACAAAGAATAATAAAAAAGTCATATTCATTTTTTGCAGTGATTAGCTATATTTTTAAGTAACGAAAGTCTTGTAAGTGGAGTCACTTAGAGATTTGAGATGAGGTTTTAAAAATTGTGCAGTTTTGTCTGTAGTTTTGTTTATATTCTGTAGTAACTCAAGACAATTTGATAATCATTCAGAATCATTAAAATGTATATTTTACTTTTACTGATGTGAAGTAGTACAGTGCAGACTCAGATTTCTTTACAGTGGTGGTGATAGGAACCAGGGGTCGCCATGACTACAACACAAATACAGACATTTTATTTACTATCCAAAACCACCAGTGAACCTATATGTGTCTTCTGAATTTTATATGGAATGTTAATGAGAAAATAGTGGACAAATCTGAAATAAATAAATGTTCTTGGGGACTGTTTTGCCTTTAAACACCCTTCTTGTATCCTTCCACCATGAATGGATTCAATTAGATGGATTATAATACAGTTTAGACCTGAAACTTTATCACTAAACTATCATAAAACAGTGTCTCAGGTATCAGGCAGTGTATGCATAACCATTTCATGCGATAACTTTCTGCGAAGGATCTTTTAGTGGTGGAACTTTGGGGACTATTTTGCCTCACAATGCCTTGTACCCATCCACCATGAATTGATTGAAAACATTTTTTACATCTAAACAGTTTAATTAAGAGGACATTTAGATCATCTCTTAATCTTAGATCTGTTTTGATCAGTTTCTTTAGTCCTCTCCTTTTAGACATAATTTTCTGTAATGTTATTATCATGACAAGTTCTCATATATATATGTTATTTTATGCTATGAAAATGAGAGAAAAGATGCAAACGGCCAAGCACAAGGATTATCATGCTGCATGATTTTTCGTCTTGTTTTAAATCAGCTTCTGTTGGGATAATACATTTTAGTGCTCTTAACTGCACTTCTGTAATTTTACACTATGTAATCTGTAATGGCGACTGAATAAAAAGAAGACAAATAAAAACATGCATAAAACACTTCTCTGGTGACTATTCATTCCTATCTATAAAAGAAACTGGCAAACAAGTAGGCAGTCAATACCCCAAAAAGGCAGAAATTATTTCTTATCATTGTACAGTATACAGGGTTGCTCATGAACCATAATCAATCTTTATAATCCATTAATTGAATACACTAATCATATCAGGCCTAATTAGGGGAAGAGTAGATTATCCAGAATTGTATAAAAGTTGATGCCCAGCTTAGAATTGCTGTGAATAAACTTGCCATACAGCAAAAGAGCTCTTGTTTCTTCAGGCTTTAGTTCCAGTTAATGGAAATCTATCTTAATGCTACAACATACAGTCACATTCTAAATAACTGTGTGCTTCCAGCTGTGGGATAGAGGAAGACCCTCTACTGTTTCAGCAGGACAGTATGCCCCTGTGCACGCAGTGAGCTCTATAAAGATTTGATGAGTTTGGTGTAGAAGAGCTTGACTGCCTGCGCAGAGCCCTGCACTCAAGAAACAAAACTGGCCCTTGTGTGTGTTTAGACTATGAATTGTATTGCATCTTCTGAAAGACAGAAGTGGTCCAAGGTGAGAAAGATCTTCAACGCCAGAGACATTGTGGTGGTAGTGGCTCTACTTCCGATTTGATTCCGAGTGGATCAGTTAAACTCAAGACAAAAACGGGCATCATAGAGTGGCCAACTGCAAAGCTCTGCTTGCTGTTAGAACACTAAAGACTGGATCAACGAATATGCAATGTATGTTTTTTTTTTCTTTCTATATATATTATGTCAAGCCTGAGGGGCCAGATGTGAAGGTCATTATTATCATACTCCTTTTCTGTTTGAGTTAACCCCATCTAGTGGCTGGAATAGATGAGCCACTGGGAGATAAGGGCAGGTGACGCTACCTGGAGGGTGTGGCCAGAGCAGGAAGAGTCTTTGACCTCACATCCTCAAGTCCAGGCTGATACAGACACTGATCTTTCTTTCAGATAATCTCTAGTTAATCTTTGCAATCCTTATTTTAATTTGTGTTGGACTTCCAAGCATAGTATTTTTATCATTAAAAATAATTAGTACTTTTTTGGACAACATCTTATTGTGGACATTGGGTTATTTTGGATGAAGAGAGTCAGGCATTTTTGCTCAGCCACCGTAGTGGTCATCAGTAAGACAGGAAATAACCACTAGAATCCATTTTAAGATGTACTTAAAGTATTTGCATTGAAAGAATGTAATTATTTGCCAAAGTCAATTAATCAAAAAAGAGAATGAATTGTGTTTTTTGCAGTTCTTGCAAGTCTGTTATACTTAAAATAGAATATACCTCACATTACTCAACTATATTGAGTTTTCTGATGATTTCATGTGTTCAGATTGGACCTCTGAGTTAAATTCACATACTGAAATTGACTTTAGCCTGTTGCTATAAGCAGCTGAAGAGATTGGTGCAACTAAGACAAGACTTTGTTGCCACCTGCCTCTATCTGTTTGCATACTGTGCATGTCTTTCTCCTTGTTTTACTCACTGTCTCTGTTGTCTTTCCTCCTAGATAGCCTTCCATTAGGGTGGAAGCTCACCTGTGTTTTGGTTGACTGCTTAGCCTTGTTACTGGTTGTGAAAGCAGACCACCACATTTTGTATTTCTGAGTGGTTTTAAGATAGTGACCACCTTTAAACCAGTCCTAGTAAGATAAGGTGGATCAATGTAAGTTAAACCAACACTACACTCTTTAAAAAATGGTTCTTCAAGAATTCTTTAGTAAAGACAATGGTTCTATATAGAACCATGAACACTTAAAGAACAATTTGCATGATTAACTGGTAAAATTGTTCCTCAGATTGGTGGAGAATGTGTTGTATAAAGTTCTGTATAGCGTATATAGCGTGTATATTCTGTAAGCTTGTCATTATAATATAAGAACCCTTTTTGGTTCCCACCATTTTCAAAAAGGTTCGGTACAGAACCGTATACAACAGATTCGCCATCAATTTGAAGAACCATTTTACCATGGAAAGAACCATTTAAACATGCAAATGGTTCTTTGAGTGTTCATGGTTCAATATTGTCTTTGCTAAAGAACCCTTTTATTTAAGAGTGTAGTAAAATCTCTAAGTCTCACCTGGCCACCCCATTCTATGAGTTCTAGCTACACCCCTGTTGATTTCCCAGCTGTCTAGACGTGCTAACAGTGAATCAGAACAGTTGCTCACTTTCGGTTTCGTTTCCTCACCGACCCGAGGAGGAGAGCAGAGCAGCTGTCCAGCTTTAACAGCGCTGAGAGCTCAGTCTGGTAAGTAACACAGCTCACTCATTTAATTATGGAGTTAGAAATGTCAAAGGAAGAGCAAAACCGCATAGAACCGTACTAAACAGTATGTCAGAAACAGTGCACCTCCAATAGAAGCCCACTCATTAGTGTAGTATGTGTAGTACAGTAGAAAGAAGAAGAGAATGATATTCGTGCGGCTTAATCAGACGACAATAAAGTAATTTGATCTCGAACATGGTTTAGATATCTCTCTTATGGAGAAATGCACCGTTTCGTTTGCCCTCTGTTCGTGCTTTTTCGCTCACTTTCGCCGGTGGCTTGAACTCGCTGACCAGTCACAGTGGTCTCTGGCGTTGTCATGGCGACGGCCAAGTTTACCGGCTCAGACCGGATCGGTTGTGTCCCAGCAGCTATAGCTAACTAGCTAGCGTTAACTAGCTTGTTCAAAGACGCAAAAAGAGTCACTAAAGGCAGCTCAAACTGAGCTCCAAGCCTCCAAGTTAAATGTGGAAGCACTCAGAGTTTCAGCTTCTGAATGAAGAGGTGAAACTCTTCGCTCTACTTTCACTTTACCTAAATGGAAAGTAAGTTAGCATTAGCCAAGTGTCACCCTGTACTGACGCGGTGAGGATCTTCTTTGTACTTAAAGGCGAATTCCACTTATTTTCTCCAAAACATCTAGATTGATTGAATGTGTGAGATGTAAACAGTGATTCAGAGTAGTTTGGTGTGAAACGGAGCAGATTCCTTTGCAGTGGTGGTGACAGAGTCTTCTGAGTTTTGTAAGGAATGTTGATGATGGAAAAACAGTGGAAAATCAGAAAATTTTCTTTGGGACTGTTTTGCCTAAGAACATCCTTCTTGTGTCCTTTCACCGTGAACAGATTAAAATGCTCTGATTAAAATAAGTTTTAGACCAAAAACCTTATCATAAAAGTACTGTAAAACAATGTCTCAGACATCAGGCAGTGTATTCATAACCATTTCATGTAATAACTTTCTGTGACAGAGCTTTAAGAGTTTCTGTCACCACCACTGTGAACAATTCTGGCTCTGTAAGTTTTTTTAGAACATCAAAACCCATTTCATCCAAACCATTTTCACACCAAACCACTGTGAATAACTTTATTTAAATCTTAACCTATTATGTAGAAAATTATGCAGAAATTTTGAAAAATCAGTGGGGTTCCCCTTTAAAGACAACTATCACTGTCCTAGTATACTTAAGAAATGTAGAAGAGTAGACATTTGAAGTCGAGTGCCTCATAGGTGCACTTTCTTCAGTTTTAGGTACGGTGAAGACTTTTGGCCACAGCAATCATACTTTTTAAGGTAGAAAGGCTTAAATTGAAGGTTATGATTTTCAGAAGTTTTCTTGATGCAAATGGAAAAATGTTAGTTTATTATGAAGAGCTAATAAATATTGATTTTTGATGAGAATTTGTCAATCGGACAGTGAGTATTTACTGTGTATAGTACTGTAAGCCTCTGCATCTTTCCCACCTTTTTCATTATTTCAGGATACTTTGTACCACATTTCATGCTTCTGTGTCTATTTGAGCCAGTGTAACGCCTCGGCCTTTGAATTTACATCATTTTCCCAGAAGTTCCCTCCAGAGCAAACGGCCCTAAGTTTGGGTTGCTCGTTATCAACTTGGCCCAAGATACAGGCTAACAGGAAAAAATGCTGGAGCGCTGGACCTGGCTACCAGTTTAAGTGAGAAGTAGATCTCATTTATCCCTCAGAGATATGGAGACTGAAAACAGTTCAGAGCTTGTATAACATCTACTCTTTACCAGGTAGTTTATCACTTTATGGAAGGTGCAAAGGTGAGCTCTTATGCCCCACCCTTTTTAAAAACCTTTTGGTTTGTTTAGTCGGTAAGGGGTTATCTCAAAGCTGCTGGTGGAATCAGAAAATCATTTGCAATGGTGAACAATGTGATTGTTTCTGGTTCTATATTTGAATGCAACCTATAGGAGCATAGAGCTAAGAGACAATCATCAATCATGTCTGATGAGGAGCAGCCAATGGAAATTGATACTGATGATGATGCCACTGTGAGTATCACTTTGGTTGTTAGTTATTTATAGATTTCCTTTATTATAGGGCTTGTTATCGTGATATGAGTTAATGCAGTAAGCACATAAGTAAGGGTTACGACGACAGATCAAAATACCTCCCACGCAGCACAAAAAAGATGTAATTAGATTGGCAGGGATGTAGTGTTAAAAGCCCGACAAGTGCATCCCTGCGTTAAGCTCTTAAAAAAGATGGTTCTTCTAGAGTTCTTTAGTAAAGACAGTGATTCTATATGAAACCATATACACTAGTTGTATGCATAAAATGGTTCTTTGCCTGGTGAAATGGTTCTCCAGAGTGATGAAGAGTGTTTGGTGAAGCACCAAAAAGGACTCTGCTATTGTTACAAGCTTGACATCGCAACAATAGATGAACCCTTTTTGGCACTAAATAGAACCATTTTCAAAGTATAGTCCAGTTAGATGTACATTTTATTCTTTATTTTAATAATAATGTATCGTCATCATGATATTCAAAAGCTTTAAGGAATATTACATTTTATGTCCATGTCTTGCAGCCCTAATTTGTTGTGTGTATTTGGTACTTTACAATGAATATTACATAGAAGCTAACACTAACATGTTATTTATATTTTCAGACACACACATCGTTTAGTTTTTACCCAAGTCTGCCCCAGGTCTGTTCTCAAGAGCAAACACCCAAGAGAGAACTGCTGCCCCCCCTTCTGTGAGTAACAGTTACAGCCCTCTGAGTTCACATCTACTGAATAATTAGGCAATAGAACATAATTGTTTTGGGAGAAAACCTTATTTCTCCATTTTATGCATTTGAAATCACCAGCTGCTCTTTATGTCCAAATTTCATGATGAATGGACCAATAGAAATGCTCCAGAAAGTCTTGGAACAAATAATTTCTCCATTATTGTCCATTAACATAAGTTAAGAATGTTTTTATCTTCTGATGTAAAGTTAGCTTTTTGGAGATACATGGTTTTGATCCAACAGCAATGATATGATATTTTACGTTTCAGATTCTCCTTGCCTGACCAGTAATTATGCTGAAAATCATGAACATCATGAAAATATGAAAGCTAATTGTATTTTACATCTGAGTGCAAAAAATGGCATCTTGGCAAGTGAAATGATCCTAAATCTAGTCAATATATCTAATAATTCTCATGTTGCAAGCTTTTTATAAGATTGCTTATTTTTAGACATTGTTTTACTTATTTAAATGATTTTAGAAAGTTGAATAATCTCAATATAGTGGCGGATAATGTTGGCTGCTTTCAAGCATATTTCCTACAGCAAGCAAAATTATCTGCAAATTCAGTGAGATCATTTGACTAAAATTACTTGAAGTAAAAAATGTTAAATAATGTTATAATAGGTGTTCAACAATCTCAAAATGAAAAATATTAGATATATTCTCTAGATTTAAGGTCATTCACTTGTCAAGAGACCATTTCTTTGCAGTGTGAGCGTGACTTGCTCTTCAAGCGTGTCAGTTTATTCTGAAATAACGTTACTTTAACAGTTGAATAATGGTTGTTTAATGTGTTGTGATTCCGCAGATCATTTTCCGGATATTTTAGAAAATCTCCTCCTGTAAGGGGCAAGAAAAGGCTTGCCCCCTATGAGGTGGCCAGCACCAGGACAGTATCCATGCAGTTCTACCTCATGAACAAGAATGTGGAAAGGACACCTAAACCAGCAGAAGAACTGTCACTTCTCCTAGCGGGCATGGGGAGACGCACAGTCAGACTCCCAGAAAGCGCAGACCACTCTGAGGTACATGAATATTTTTAATAATAGTAATGTTATTTATTTAATAATTTAATTTTAATTATTTAACAGCCCTCTCACATTCTCATCTGTTAAAAGCAGACACACTCACTGTACACACAATAGACTGCACAGTTGAACATTGATCAGTTTCTGACCAGTTTCTAATGTGAGAAGTGGCTCTGCGGTCTGCGAAACTGACCAAAGATAAGGGGTTACATCAGTGGTTCCTAACCCTGGTCCTAGAGGACCCCCTGCCCTGCACATTTCAGTGTTTGCCCTGCTCCCAACACATCTGATCCAAATAATCAGTTAACTAACAAGCCCATCCTGAGTTGAAGTGGGTGTGTTAGAGCAGGAAAACCCAAAACATTTAACAGTCCTCCACCAATAAAGACTCAGGAAACCTAAATGTGTGTTTTTTTGGATTAATCTTGTTCTTGCAGGAAGACAGTAAACATGTACTAAGTTCACCGTTTGAATAATGTTTCACCGGCCAACAAATGACGATATATTTCACCATATTTCTCTCCTCTCAGTGTAAACTGGGCAGTCCTAATCTTGGGTAGCGCTTACGTAAGCATTACCCTGACCAATCACAGGGCTGCATTTCTGGCTCCACCCACACAGAACAGTTTCAGAGTCAGAGAAACTTAGCAAGCTAAAGCTAACCCAGCATAACCGGGAGCGGATAGCTTCCACATCCACAGCGGACTGCACCAGAGCTCGCTGGAAGAAAAACCCAGACCACTGATTTCAGGAGGACCAGAGATCGGTTCTCTGTTCCACTCTGGGGGCTCGAAAAACAGCTTTCACACTCGACCAAACGTACCAAACTCACTGAGAAAGTGGCCGTGTGTCCGAATTTTTTTTTGTGTGAAAACATCCTGTGTGTTTTTGAGTTTTCGGGTCCAATATGTTGATACAGTGTCATATAGGTGTCAGGGTCATATAGATGATGTGTTGAAATAACAGATGCCGAACACTGGCATGGTCAACATTTTTAATTTGGTACATAAAGGCAAAATTGAAAGTATTCAAAAACAGCCAAAATAGTCACTCACAAGAGTTAAAAACACTGATCATTAATGTCACACCCAAGTTCTGTGTTCTTTAATGCAGGTTACAAGACTTCTTGCTGAACATTACCCAAAACTTTCCAGCTTATCAGGAGGGTGGCTTCTGTACAAGGCCCTCGGTAATGTACACCCTCAAACTGTTCAGAAGGTCAGACACGTTTTGTTACTTCACTCGTTTCATTGTTTTACTCATGCTGCCCCTCACAGGTGGATCAGGACAACGGAAACTTACAGTTGTTCCTCCGGAAGCTGCAGGTTATAATACTCGGTATTTAAGATCTGTGAGTGGAGGGGGGAAGAGCACACTGTACATAGTTCCTCTCCAGGAGCAACTTGATACATCTCCTCTTCCTGTGGGTGAACATGAATTCCAGAAGATGCCAAAGACGACCTGCCAAGCCTGTGGGCTGTCTATGCCACTGCAGGTCATGGCTGTGCACGTCAAGTCATGCTGCATTGACAGATCATCCGCGGAAAATGACACGGATAATCATATAAAGGTAATATAGATTTTAGTAAATATTCAACCACAGTATCTGTAATTAGTTGTTGGTTTTTCACAACAGCTAAAAAATGAGTTTTTTAACAAAGACTTGCATTCGTTCTAGTCTCCTGCTGATGTGTCTGCTGAGTTCCTCTCAGTGAAATCCTCAGCGGCAACTACTACGAGCATATCCAGTACTGAGGTAAGACCGATCAAGAAAACATGCATCTCCAAAATAGTAACTTTACAGGAGAAGGCAAAACATTGTTAACTTTTAATGTGAGTTAATGTAAAGAGATTTTATTCAAAATGGTTTTGGAGCATTTCTATTAGTCCGTTCATCATGATCATCAATTGCCACACAATGTAAAGGACGGTGACTGTGTTCAAATGACGCAGAAAAATAAAAATTGACAAGAATAGAGACTTTTTTTTTTTTACTATAGCAATAATAATATTAAGGTCAGTGCTACCCAACAAAGACAGCGATTTCTCTGAATATTAAATAGTGAATTTTTTTGTCTTTTGCTGATAATTATATTTGTGCATTCCATTCAGGCTCCATGTCCAATCTGTCAAAGAAATTTTCCACGGCATTATTTACAAATCCATGCCAGCTTGTGTTGTGACAGGTGAGAGTATCTGAATGTTTGTTGGCTAAATAAACAAATCTGAATATTGTATATCATTACTGTCAGGGCAGAACCTCGTATCTCCGAAAAGGTTCTACGTCATTTTGGACCATTTATGTCTGTTGGGCCAAAATTTTGAGATGGTGTAAATGACTGCTTGCATTTTCAATTTATGTGACAAAATAGAAAACAACAAAAATGAACAAACACGTTTTTGTTCCAACAGCAATAATATGTAATGAATTGCCCAAGTGTAATAATTCTCTAAATGTATGTATGTAATAACAGGGCAGAGGAAGCACCTGTAAGCACAAAAGAAGATTCTAAACCAATAAACAGTGGAATTGAGAGGTATATTTACACATTTTCTTAGTCTGAATACATAACATATTCTCTGTTTTTTATAATTCATACAGTCCCAACGTTTCAGGATCTCACAGCCTTTTTTGTGATTTATGAGTTGATTTTATGGCTGTTTTTTGGGTAAATTTGAGTTTTGGGTAAGTGTTTGGGTCAAATTTTGGGTTCTTTTTTTGGCTTAATATGAGTAGATTGTTGGGATGAATTTTGGGTCAAATTCTGGGTTAATTTTTGGGTCGATTTTTCAGTCAAATTCTGGGTCGAATTTTGAGTTGATTAGATTTTTTGTCTGTGCTATTGCATATCAAATTGTGCTGCATTGACAGGTCATCCACAGAGAACAACACGGATAATTACATAAAGGTAATAAAGATTTCAGTAAATATTCAACCACAGTGCATCTGTTTATTAGATGTTTCACAATGGCTACAGGATGAATTTTTTTAACAAACATTTACATTTATTCAAGTCTCCCGCTCATGTGTCTGCTGTTGATGAGTTCCTCTCAGTGAAATCTACAGCAGCAGCCAATATGAGCAGATCCAATTATTAATGATGCTATTAGTAAGATCAGTCATACTCACCACCAATAGCAAACTTTTACAATGATTAACACCTGTTATGTGTTCATTCTAGCCTTCTGATGTGTCTACAGTGGCAGCCAATAGTACAAGTAAATCCAGCACTGAGGTAAGACCAAATACAGCAATAATAATATTAGTAAGAGCAGTGCTACCCGATAAGGACAATAATCACTGACTTTCTTTGAATATTAAATAGTGAATTTCCTATATTTTGCTGATAATTATGTTTGTGTCTTCTATTCAGGCTGCATGTCCAATCTGTCAAAGAAATTTTCCACTGGATTATTTACAAATCCATGCCAGCTTGTGTTGTGACAGGTGACAATATCTGAATGTTTGTTGGCTAAAGAAACATCTAAAAATCCTTTTTGATAATTTTGCTTTTTAATGTTTTTGTATATCGTCACTGTCGGAACAAAACCTTGTATCTAACAATGTGTGCAATAACAGGGCGGAGGAAGCACCTTTCAGCAAAAAAGAAGATTCTAAACCAATAAACAGTGGAATTAAGAGGTACATCTGCATGTTTTTCTTAGCTACATAACATGATAATTCTCAATATTTGTAATAATATTTGTATTTTTTTTAGAATCTAATCTTTATTAGATTTACAGATTTTACAGATTTAATTTTACACTCATAAATTCTCAGAGAACAGTTTTTAATTTTATATTGAAATGATACAGTAAAATGACTTGTATACAAAATAAGCACAGAATTTCTACAGTCTACAGTCAAATATTTAGAAAAAGGGCAGTATTATCATTGAAAACTGGGATTATCAACTATTGGACGGAAGTGGCTACTCAAACAAGCAGAGTAGATTTTTGCCACTTTGTCTAAACTTGCATACATAATACACTCTCCTGTGGTGTTTTCACTAGCAAACCAAGGGCTGGCTTTACACATTGAAAATTTTGTGCAACTTTAGTTGCTTGAAACCTTTGTGAAACTCAACTGCACTTGAGCTGCATAATGTAAAGCATCCTGCAACTCACTTGAAACTCAGCCATAACTGTTGCAAGCATATCAACAGCCGATCAAAACAGTGATATCAAATGACATCATTTCAATCATCTGATTTCACCAGATTAATGGACAAGAAGATAAAAGGGATGGTTTATCGGACAGCTGATAATGAAATCCTCCTGGTCAACTTTGTGTAAGGTTGTAGTTTTTAATGTAATTTCCCTGAGCCATGACGTGCCAAAGTGTATTCCTCTTTGTTAGCCTGCTGTTGTTGTGATGTACGTAGATAGATTACTCATTTTCTTACTTACTTTTAAACAGAGCTCACACTCACTGGTGATCCAAATAATGAGCCATAATGGCTTTTTAAAACTTAATTTTCAAAGGTCTAACATACACAGAACAGAATAAAAAGTTAAATATATATCTAACATACTAAAAACAGATAGATAGATAGTTAAATTTATACGGATGTGTAGATGTAAAAAAAGAATGAGAACGACAGTTGGAAACTTTACACTAAGACAATAAAAATTGCTATAAGTATGTAACACCTCATGGTTGTTGTTGTACAGTGAAAATTATACAGTGTATCAACAGTTTGGCTAACTAGTTGTGTTGCGTACAACTTTGTTTTTTAATTGTTTTGTGTCAGGTTGCACTGAAAACTCACAACATGCAACTAGTTGCATGAAAGTTTCATTGTGTAAAGCCAGCCTTAAGAACTAAGCTATTAAACTAACCTTTGCAGTTTTGTTGCCTGTAATCTGTATTACCTGGAAACACAGTGGCCTGATGTTGTTGCTGAGACAGAAAGAGAGTTTATCACACACAATTATTTATTTTCAAATATGTAATTATTTTGTGTCTCATTTTTTTTATTTATTGTCTCGAAATAAGATCTTATTTTCTCAGAATAACTTATTAGGATGGAATAATCACACTTTCTCACACTTTCTCCAAGAGTAATAGCTTGATTTTGGTTATAAGTCAATACAATAAGTAATTATTTCAACCCTATGAATTACATTTACAGTTACAGTTACATGAGTTACAGATGATAAAAGGAGAGGTTTACACTTTTAATGGTGCTATTTTGACATACTATTTAGTGCTGTAGTTTACAGTTATGGATTCCATACAAAATGCATGTGGGTTATATTGCACTGTTCATATGTCATGAGGTTGCCACCTGTGTTTATTTGTATTGACATTCTTTGTTGATAGGCGACTAAATTGCCCAGCTCTAATTTGCATGAATTTGTGATCATAAATTCCAGGAGGCCCTGATTACAGCTCTCTTCATGTTGTTTGTATGTGCGTTAGCCTTGATGATGTTCTCCAGACCATCGAAGCTGCAGTAGCTAAAGACGGCGACACATTTGATGTCACAGTGTCCCGGCACAACATGGTGGAGAGAGGGCTCGCTCAGTGGCAGAGGCAAAAGAAGTCATCTCCACTGAATCCTCTGAGAGTGGTGTTTTTGGACGAGGCTGGGATCGACACAGGGGCGCTCCGCAAAGAGTTTCTAACAGGTGAGCAAAAGTTGACCCTTAAAATCTCAGGCTTATTACATACTAATGCTTATTACTCAGTAACTACAGGCACTTCGGTGCAAACTGGCTGAGCTATTCTCAGATTATAGAAGTGTGGAATAAAACTTTGAACCCACTGATGGGCATTTAAGGGATTAAACAGATTTGCAAACATTAAGCAGACTTAGTTGTAATATGTGATGACGGCTCCTCTGGTTGAAGGAATGATAGAAGGCATCGAGAAGCGTTTCTTCGAGGGGAGCAGGCATGGCAAGAGGCCCAAGTATTCACTGTGTGATTTGGACAAAGGTCACTTTAAGTATGTATTGTTCACTCATGTACTCTCTGTATACTATAAACAGTACTGTGCAAAAGTCTTAGGCACCTAAGCACATTGTTTACAAACCATATGTGTGAACTCTGCAATCTGATCTGTTTAGTCTCAATGACGACTTCAGTATGGACTGGATTTAGGACAGTAGCTATTACAGAATAAGAGTTCCTAACTTCATGATCTTATTATTAACTCCAGATAAGAGAACAGTATTACATAAACATCCTAACTAGACTTAATCTCCTAAATACTGTCTTAACTTTAGGATAAACCCCAACAGTGTCCTAACTTCTGTTTAAGTGTCTGTTTCTATCGTTTTTAGGCAGCTGTGTCAGGCAGCATAGTTCACTACTAGCATAATGACGCTACATTTATTTATTCTGTCTTTTACTTGTGAGATGTTTTTCTTTTCTAACTCTGCGTTCCCTTAAAATTCATAACAATAATAATAATAATAATAATAATAATAATAATAATGTTTTTCTGAGCATACAAACACTTACAGCCCCATTAGTTTTTTCAGGTGCCTAAATTTTTTGCACAGTTTATTTATTTATTTGTTCATTCATTCCTTCACTTATTTTTTCATTCCCTCAGTGTATTTCTTTAATGTACAGAGTTGATGTTTATTCCAGGACTGTAGGAGAAATAATGGCTGTTAGTCTGGCCCAAGGTGGACCCACTCCAAATTTTCTTACCTTATGGTGCTACGAGTTCCTGTGCAGTGGGTCTCTGGATTTGAAAAATGTGGACAAAACTGATTTGGGAGACGATCAATACGCTAATCTCATTTCAAAAGTAAGACTGTCTAGACGATTTTCCACAAAACACACTCTTGAGCAGCATCTTTGAGCTGTGCTCAGGGTGCTCTTCTGTTTTTTCAGGTGGAGTCGGCTTCAAAGTTCACAATTACAGACCTCACAGAAGACATCGTGAGCTGTGGGTACACAGGAGCTGTCAGCTTGGAGAAGAAGCAGGAAATAACCCGGTACGTTTGGAGGATTATTTCAGGGTGTGTTCTGGCAGAATCACAAAACTTAACATGATTAGTATGCAGTGTAATTACTGTATTCTTATCATGATTGTTCTTTTTTTACTGAGCTTTCACTACAAAATGTGTTCATCTGAAACTTTCTGAACCACAATTCCCTTCTTCCTTCTTGCTTTCCTGGTTTACTACATTTGAATTCTGTGCTTAATTGCTGTATTTGTGAAATATTATTTTTGGACAAGGTACTTTTTGTCAATTAGATGATATGATATTCCACAAATTAGTGTAATAGTGTCTTTCTTGTCAATTGTGAATTATATGTTTCATGTAGCAGAAATTCATTTCTAAAAAAGGGATCTTAGACTACTTAGGGCTACTTGCCAAGTGGTCTTCTCCAAGAGGGGACTGATTAAAAAAATTAACTGTATTATTTTATTTTAACTACATAAAATATATACTCATGCAAGCTAAGTGTTGTTCATAGTAGTATAAATACACAGTGTTTAATAAATGTTTTAGTGTTTAATAAATGTTTTAGTGTTCCTGCTGTGTGCTGAATGAATCGACAAAGTGCCTATCAGAGTTAGTTGCAGCTATATTACAGTCAGTCTGCAGCAGTCATGCTGCGTCAGGGTTTCGCTTCAATGTGTCCTCTTGCAAGCAATGCTGTCTTTCTGCCTTTAACACTGTAATCATCTGTTTGAGCTGAATTTCAGAGCTGATGTTGGGTAACCAGACACAGTGTCCAGTATGTGGAGCAAATATACGTGTCAGATGGAAATATTCAGCCACAGAAAATTTAAAAGATTATTTGTGGATAATATTTAGAGATTTAAACATGTGACATGCCGTATGAAGCCATCTCAGGATGCATTATTTTCTTTGCACTTTAAGCACTGTTTTCTTTAAGAAATGAATATATACAAATGGATTTATTCAGTGATTTTGCATTGTGTATGTGTCTGTGTGTTTATTTTGGTCCTAAACAGAGCTGTTATTCTCCACGCTATGCTGAAGCTTGTCCCCATACTGCAACAGATAAGGAAAGGTCTTCAGCTGTATGGCCTCTGTGATCTCATGAGCAAATACCCGAAAATCTGCCAGCCTCTTTTCGTCCCTGGAGTAGAGATGACTGTAAGTTTGTGTGTAATTGTAATTGTATGTAATAATTTGTTGTAAATATTAGAAGCTGAGGCAGGGCATTCACAAAGCCACTGAACATGTCTACGACCTTAAAGGGCCTAGGTCTTTTTATTTTTCTTGCATTGAATTTTTTCACTTTTACACTTATTAGTGTTTGTGTAGTTTTTTGTACCAAAAACAGTCATAATTCATTTTATGTGAACATTTTCCAACTTTTCTTTATCCCTGATGATTAAAGAGGAGCAAACTGAATGTATGAATTTTAACTATATAACACATAAACTCACTTAAGCGCATCTTTAATGCAAAGTATTATTAATAGTAGTAATATTAGTAATAGTAGAAGTATAAATACATAGAGTGAATGAATATTTCAGTGTTCAATTAAATCAAGGAACAACAGAATTATGGGACTCTAATTGTGAAAGCATTGGTGTTCTGCTAAACAGGAGTAACATTCAGTTACATTCATTTAGTACCAAAAACAGACATAACCTCTCTTTATACTTTACAATTAAACAGGCTGCTTACTGTGCTTTTAAGACTCGTATATGCAAATGAGCTCTGTTCTGATTGGCTGCCCTCCTTCAAAAAGCAGCATGGCTTCAGTGTGAATAAGCGAGGCTAATCTGCTGTAGACTGAATAGGCAGATATATGTAAATAAGTTGGTTTTCATGACATCACAAAAACAATGAATTCAAAACAGGCTGTATTTGCTGTTCAGTTTGCATATATATTCCAAAAATATTGAATATTGAATATTTTTGGAAACAGTTTTTACATACTGCATCAAACTCTTCTTCTTCAATAAACTGAAAAACGTTTTCCTTGATATGAGTCCCTTAACCAGATTTAACATCTTAAAGGAATAGTTCACCAGTTTTACGCACCAAAATATACACTGACCAGCCATGCATGCAGGAAAATATATGATCATCTGATCATCTACATACTTAAAACTGAATTAAAAAGCACTTTTTTCAGTTTTGCTCTAATGATTTATTTTGTTTTATTTGAACAGGCTGATGCAGACTTTGTCATGTCGGTTTGCCAGGCACAGTTTAGCGTGAAGGGCTCATATAAGGAACAAAGGGAAGTCACCTTGATGAACCATCTCCAAGACCTACTCCAGGAACTGGAGCAAAGTACGTTTCAGTTGCTTTTTCAGTTTTTATTCTCTATTAAATCAGCACAGAGCATGGAGTTATTAAAGACTATACCAGTATACCAATAACTAAGCTGACCACACTGCAAACATTGGTATCTTGGTAAGTGAAAACAGCTTAAATCTAGTCAATATATCTAAGATTTCTGATTATGAGACTGTTGGAGGAGTATAATCATATTATTTCTAGCAGTTTTGACTAGATTTAAGATTTCACTTACATGAGTTGCCCTTTTTTGCAGTTCATTGTTGGCCCATTTCTTGCAAGACGCAGTAATTCCATGTTTAATGGTAGTAACAGATAAAAGACACAGCTACTTGTTCTGGTTTATTCCAATTGTAAAAATACAGAAGTAGGAAATATTTCTCACTAACTGGTTTGTTGTGAATTATTCACAGTAGTGGTGATAGTAACCAGACATCCACCTCCACGGAAAGATATTGAAAGGACAAAATTGCTTTACATATGGGTTGTGACCCCTGGGTTAACTGAATACTGAAGTACCTGTGCACATTCTTAACATCTATAACTTCATAATGTGCACATTTTTCCCTTTCTGTTTGTTTAGATGAGAACCCGCCTGGGCTGCAAGAAGCTGCTCTGCCCTCCATGACACCAAGAACATTCCTTCAGTGGGTGACCGGGCAGGGACACATTCCTATTCTGGCACGGGAGAAGGCCAGATTCAGGATAACAGTGGCATTTAATCATCACTGTGATGTAGATTACAGTGAGCACACAGTATGCTACCCAACTGTGGCAGCATGCAGCAGCACTATCACACTACCTGTTAAACACATGTTAACGTATGAAAACTTCAAATGGATCATGGTGGAAGCGTTCTGTCTGGGCCAGGAATTTCATAAAATTTAACTGCACTCTTAAAAAAGATGTTTCTTCAAGGGTTCTCTAGACTATATATAGAACCTTGGACACTCAAAGAACTGTTTGCATGCTTAAAGGGTTCTCTGCATGGTGAAATGGTTCTTCAGATTGATGGACAATGTGTTGTATATGGTTCTATATAGCGTCAAGGTTCTCCTATTTTTACAAGCTTGACACCATAACAATAGAAGAACTCTTTCTGGTGCTATATAGAACCATATACAACACATTCTCCATCAGTCTGAAGAATAATTTTAGAATAAAATTGTGCTAGAAATTGAATTATACTGATGTGGCATAAGCTGGGAGAAAATTGTATGTATTAATGTGTTTAAAATTGTGCTTAAAATTTATTAGCCTTAAATGGGCTGTTTAGGCCATCATAACCTTTTAATCACCCTTGTCATGTATTTTAGACCAAGACATATTTGAGGTTTTCTTGATATTTACCTTTTTTTTGGTTTGTTTGTGTTTGTTGTTCTGTTTGGGTTTGTGTTTATGTGTCTCAGCAATTAGGTTTAGTTTAAATTGCAGGTGTGAAGCTTCCACGGACACAGCTGTGGGGTTTAAGAACTGATGTGAATCATTCAGGTTTAAACTCAGGTTAAACTCTAAACCAACAGCTAAGCTAATGACAGCACAGTTGCCCTGTTAAGTCCAGAATTTCAAACCATAAACAGCTCTTGGGCAATCCAGGGCTGAGCTACCTGAGCTACTGGAAAATCAGTGATTGATGGAGGTTGACCGCTCCAGTAACTTTTTTCCTGACATTTGTGACATCAATCACATGAAAACATTGTGGGTTTTGTGTTTGTTTGTTTGTTTTTTTTTAGCAAAGGAAAAATTAATTCCTGAGCTGGTTTAAGGGTCGTCTGTGCCTTAGTGTGTTTTCAGCACATTTTCTATATAAAAATGATTAAGCTTATACATTTGATTTTACACAAAACTCCATTACAACCCATTCATTTTGGACTTCCTCAGGAGCGCCTCTAGTGTCTGACAAACCTGGAAGACACTATTTAGTAGCAGTTCTCTGCACTGCACATGCTCTGATAACAGTACATAGATATTAAAGAGAAACCCTGACTGTTAAGGTATGTATGCCTTAAAACAGTCTACATGTCCCATACTATTAAAATATGACATATAAACCAAATGGGACTGCTTTGTTTATCATAAAAAGCATAAATCAAAAAAGTGTTTCTCTGGAGTGAGGTCATGCTCTAGCTAAAGCTGGAAAGACTGAATGATATTTTAGAGTTAAATGAGATGTTCAGCTTGCTGTTCCTCACTCAGTGGACGAGGGGAAGGGGGACCATTTGATGCAGCAACAAAAATGGCAGCCTACTTCAAAACAGAATTTTTCTTATTTTGATTTTTCTTATTTTGATGATACATTTCTACATTTCTAAATTTAAATTCAATACTTTGTATATTTTTCTTGTAATTTTTGTACATATACATATATCTTTATATTTTTATTGTTTATTCTATTTTATATATTGTTTGTATATTTCCTGCTGCTCTGTCTTCTGTGCTGCTGTAACACCGCAAATTTCCCCGTTGTGGGATTAATAAAGGATTATCTTATCTTATCTTATCTTATATAATAATAAGAATAGTACTTTTCTTGGTTTATACAGTATATTCAAATGGTATTGGACATATACACCAAATTTGGGGCCTATATGTCTCTTAACAGTCAGGGTTTCCTTTAAGAATACACAGACTTTCTGTTTTTTTGCTGGACTCTTCCTCATATGTCATGTGACTAGCTGAGTCAAACAACGACACAGCAAGCACAACAACACCCTTTGCCATTTCCCAGCATGCTTCTTGGTCCTGCCTCTTACTTTTTGAGGTCATATCATTTGAAAATACAAGAAAAGCACAAGTCCATCAAGATGTTACTTGGATCTAGATTCCTGTACTTTACTGTGCTTTGCTGAGCTGACTGTGAGTGGGAGGTGACTTTTTGGTGTTATTTTCACTTTCACTTCTCATCGACTTTAAAAGAGAAGACCTAGAGGGAGAGCAGTGCAGTCCTGATCCACTGGAACAACTGGTACTGGGTAAGTAACAAAAGCCAACACTTTACATTTGGGGTTAAAGTGTCAATGACATATTTAAAACCCCTTAGCGTTCAGCTAGCACACCGAGCACAGCACAATGACCATTAGTGCACAACTTTCTACAAATCTGCTGTCATTATAAAAGAAAACACAGAGTGAAACCTCAGCAAAAAGAAAGAGAGATGATTATACTCTAAATATAATTAAAACTACAGTGATCTAACTCGTGTTGGTGAAGTTAAACTCAGTTAAACTCAGTTACAGCAGTTTTCTGGTGAGGAAAGTCATTAAACTGATCAGCATTAGGTAAGAAGTATATAAAAACAAGAGAGGCAGAAAGATGGTCGGGGCTACTGCTCACACACTGGAGGATCGCGATGGTCAATCCGGCTTTTCAGTGAGTCAGATCAGTCGGCTCAGCTCACAAATAAGAATCGACTCCTAAACAGTTCTTCATTCAGCGGTCATTTCCCTTTTTTGTTCCCAAGGTATTCATATTAGTTATCATTCAATTAAAGAAAAAAAAAAATAATCAGACACAGCAGTGCTGCTGGAGGTTTTAAACACTGTGTCCACTCACTGACCACTCCATTAGACAATCCTACCTTGTTGGTCCACCTTATAGATGTAAAGTCAGAGACAATAGCTCATCTGCTGCTGCACAGTTTGTGTTGGTCATCCTCTAGTCCTTCATTAGTGGTCACAGGACGCTGCCCACAGGACGGTGTTACCTGGATGTTTTTGGTTCTCAGTCCAGCAGCGACACTGAGGTGTTTAAAAATTCCAGCAGCACTGCTGTGTCTGATCCACTCGCACCAGTGCAACACACACTAACACACCTCCGCTACATCAGTGTCAATGCAGTGCTAAGAATGACCCCACTCTGGAGGGGTTCCTGACCATTGAAGAACAGGGTGACAACGTATGCAGAGAAACAGATGGACTGCAGTCTGTAACTGTAGAACTACAAAGTGCTCCTATGTGGTCAGTGGAGCTGAAAAAACTGTCTAGATTAGTCCAGGTGGGTGTTGGAAAGCTGAAGACTTCTGGAGCAGCCAAAGCAAAGGATGATCTTGAAAAATTCCCTGCAAAGACTTTCCAGTATTTTCCCATCATCAACATTCCTTATAAAACTCGGAAGACATGTGAAGGTTCACTGGTGGTTTTGGATAGTAAATAAAATGCCTATATTTGTGTTGTAGTCATGGTGACCCCTGGTTCTATCACCACTACTGTAAGGAAATCTGAACCATCTCACACCAAACCACTCTGAATCACTCTGTTTACATCTCAACCTTTTGAAAACTTTTGAAAGCTGGGGAACAGGAAGACAAATTCAGCTTGGTTTAAAGACAAACATCAGCCCACTCACAGCCTTGTTCTTGTGAAGGGAATGAGAAGTGCCGACATCCCTTCACAGCCTGAAACACTATATTTCTGCACACAGTCTGCCATTTTCATTGCCGCTGCTCTGCTGTTGTCGTTCTTCACAGTACTTGCTGGGCTAGAATGGGGGCTGGTATATGTAATTTTAAGGGGTGTAAATATTAAATAAGTCAAAGCTGTTACATAACTAATAATTTAATTTAGGATTTTTCTTATTACCGTTTGCAGGGCACTCTTGGGACCAGAACCAGCTGTTGAGAAGCAGGTGAATTTGGAACCTGGTATGGAGCTTCTGAGATTATTTGGCAAAGTCATGGCAGGTAATCGTAATACAGATCTGAGACAAACAGCTGGAAATGCTAAAGAGAAAGAAAGTGTTAAAGGCAGAGATGTCGACTGTCCAATCTGCATGGACAAATTTACTGACAAACAGAAGCTGAAATGTGGCCACGAGTTCTGCAAAGAGTGTCTGGAAGCATCAGTGAAGTGCATGGGTAAAATCTGCCCAGTGTGTAAGGACATCTTCGGGATGTTGAAGGGAAATCAGCCTGAGGGAAGTATGACCAGCTTTAATCATTCAAACAGTCTTCCTGGCTATCCTCACTGTGGCACTATTCGGATTGAGTACTTCATACCAGGTGGCATTCAGACGGTAAGAAGTCATTATTATTAAAATATATTTACACATTCATTGTGATTTACTGACACTGTTGATTAAAAAGAAACGCATGATTAACATACAGTTTGGGCACCCTGGTCAGCTTGTTGATTGAAAAAAAATGAACATATCTTGTTCAGAGAACAGACTTCTTGTACATTTTAATGCAGTTAGTTTCTGTTTATTTGCTGAAGTTTACAAATTGGGGAAAAATAAAATTGGGCAAAAGTAATGGCACATTTTATATTCCCATTATCATGCATTTCATACGAAGAAATCTAATCGCTGGTTCAGAGCAGGTATCATCTTGCTAACCATCATGTCGGAAAACAAGAATGTTAACATGTATCATAACGCCCCTATAAAATAGTATAATTTTGGACATCTTTCTTAAACAGCCACTCTGTAACTGTACAGAATGCGGTCTGGCAGTGGTGTTGACCACCACCAAGACAGCGTGCCTGGCTGAACCCAATGCAGCATCTATGTTTGTATATCAGATTGTACATCAAACATTACAAGAGCGCTAGTTTTGAGGGCGAGGTGTGATCTCGTAACAAGAATACACATCAAGGGACAACCTGTTAAAGGTTAAATACATACATAATAAGTATGCTCCCTTCTAAACCCCCAAATTCCTCTGGTCTGGCTCTTTAAATGTCCGAAATACAATCATAATACAACCAAAACAAGTTAGCTACTAAATTGCTATCATTAGCTAAGGAACTGTATTGTTTGGGGTTTTTTTTATACGTAATGTGTTCTCCACACATACAACTTGCATCTACATGCTCAACTGGAGTTTTTGGGGGTCTTTTTTCAGCGATGATAACTTAAATTACATACCTGGGCTGACAACAGGGTTGTTGTTCACTAGACAGTGTGACAAGCGAACCAGCGCCCCCTGCTGTGAGTTCTACCTTTGTGATATGTTAGAGTGGTTTAAAAATGTCATACCCAGTTTGTTCCTCTTTAATAAGTCTATGTTCCCTCCACATTTAGCCCGAAATTCCTCCTCAGTGTTGTCCAAAGATGTTCTCGTTACTAGCTGGCCACGGAGGCTTGCAATAGCATGGACTAGATGAAACTGGGGTCAGAGTTTAGAGTGGGCGTGCCCTTGTTAGCGTACCCAGTCCAGCACCAGAGTTGTGCATTCCAGTTACGAAATCACACCTGACCCTGTGAGACCACTCTGTAATCTGTTCTGGTCTGTAAATACTGTGCTGCTTGATAGTTTTTTAATTTTTTCAACCCGACTCTGAGCGTAATCTAGTTGTGTAAACTGGCCAATGACTCAGTCTGAACCGACTCCTGCAACAGCCAATGAAAACAGAGCGCGAAAGAAGAAAATACAGCAAGTAAACAAAAAAATGGCGAAAAGTCACTCATGTGTGGAGCGAACCTTTTTAATGAGCTGAGTTTAAGGCACAAGCACAGTCGAGTTTATGTACGTTTAAAACTCTAAAAAAACAGACTGAGTACATTTTAAAATCCATGATCCTCACTTAAACATGTTTACCTGCTGCCTCTTTACTGCGTCAGCACAAACGGCAGAGAAAACCACAATAATATCTGCAGAGCCACAGAGCAACAGTTTCACACCAGAAGTTTGACTCCAGCAGGTTCAAGCCAGTGGCATTCAGCGCATGCGCCAACACTTGTTTTGGTTTTTCTTAGCAAGTTTTAGGCTAATCAAGAATTCATTCGGAATATTAAGCTTTAGGCTAAAACGAGCGTGAGGTTTGGAATGTATCCCTGCTGAAAAAACCCACAGAAACCATTAATTGTTTCTTTTTGTTTCTGATGGTTTTGTAATGTTCTGGCTTGTGGTTTAACCGGTTAGCAGAGGTTGATTAGTATATTGGTAATTATACCCCTTTCTGAATGGTAATATGCAGTCCTTTAATGTTGACATTGCACAATTGCGCGGTCCTACTGCGCATGTGTTCCACTGGCCTGAAGCTGCTGGAGTGAGACTGTGGGTGTAAATCAGACCCTTCTCAACATCTGCAGAAGTCTTTCAGAAGTAAAGATGAGGAGTGACTCACCAATCTGTGAAAGACTGCACAATCAAGTAGTGCAACAATTCAAGAATAATGTTTCTGAACATAAAATAGCAAAGAACTTTTGCTTTTCATCATCTACAGTACATAATAACAATAAAAGATTCAGAGAATCTGGAGAAATCGCTGTATGCAAGGGACAAAGCCAAAAACCAGTATTGATTAGCCAAGATCTTTGGGCCCTCAGGTGGCACTGCATTAAAAACAGACATGATTCTGTAGTGGAAATCACTGCATGGACACTGTCTGTGAGCACAGTTCATCACTGCATCCACAAATGCAAGTTAAAACTCTAAAACGCAAAGAAGAAACTGTACGTAAACAGGATCCAGAAACAACACCACCTTCTCTGGGCCTCATTTGAAATGGACTGAGGGGAGGAGGAAAAGTGTCCTGTGGTCCGACAAATCAACATTTGAAATTCTTTTTGGAACTCATGGACACCCATGAGGAGACCCAGAACTGTTGAGCAGCTGAAATCCTATATCAAACAAGAACAGGAAAACATTTAACTTTCAAAACTACAGCAGTGTGTCCCCCCAAACACTTAGTGTTGTTAAAAGAAGAGGTGATGAAACACAGTGGTAAACAGGACCCCGCCCCAACTTTTTTGGGATGTGTTGTTGGCATCAAATACAAAATGGGAATATATGTTTTAAAAACAAAAAAATCTCAATTTCAACATTTGATATGTTGTCTTTGTAGTATTTTCCTTTAAAAATATGGTTTACACGATTTGCATATCATTGCATCCTATTTTTATTTACACTCTGCACAGCATCCCAACATTTTTGGAAATGGGGTTGTATTTGGGTCTTCTAGTAATGGTAGAATGCGTGAGTTCATGCAAGTTCAGTGAGTTTCATTCGGTTCAGCAGCAGCTTAAATGTTGAGTAGTGTGTGAGCCCTAATGGTTTAGTGTGTGATCCCCAATATTTCAGTCGCCCAAAAAACCTGCAAAAAACAGATAATGTGAGATGCCCAGTCTTTTTATGATCTGTTAAGACTTTAAAAGTTGTGTAGTCAATGCAAGGCTTAACACAAACTATGGTATGGGTTTTTATTCACTTGTTAAACAAAGTGATCCAACATTAAAAGTCTTTGCTGGCAAATGTATTTGAACCTCTGCTTTCAAAAACATCTGTGACCCCCTTAAGCAGCAATTACTTCAAATAAATGGTTTCTATAACTGATGATCAGCCCTCTTAGCCCATTCCTCTTTACAGAACTGCTTTCAAATGTGTTATGTTGGTAGTTTCTGCCTCAACATTTCTATTGGATTAAGATCTGGACATTGACCTAGTCATTCCAAAATATAACATTTCCTCTGCTCTAGTCTTTGTAGACTAAATGGTGTTTTTAGGGTCGATGTCCTTCCGCAGGACCCACCTTCTGTTGAGGTTCTGTTTATGGACGAATGCCCTGACATTGGGATTTCCTGATCCAACAGAGAATTCAGCTGTCCTGGTCCAATAGCAGCAAAACAGCCTCAAACTGTGATACTGCCACCACCATGTTTCACAGCTGTTTTCCATCTATTTTTACCTTATCTGTCCACATAACATTATTTCAGTAATGTTCTAGCTCATTCAGGTGGCCTTTAGAAAACTTTAAACAGGCAGAAATCTTCTTCCTAGAGAGTGGTGGCTTTCTCTGTGCTATCATTACATACATACTATTCTTACATACTATACTTGTTCAGTGTGTCTTATCCTGAATTTGATTGTGAAGACTCAGATAAAGGTTCAGCTACTATCACATCTGATTGTCATCCAATTGATTGAACCTCGTGACCCTAATTGTCCCCTATACCAAATTAATTATTCTAGAGGTTTACATACTTTTGCCAACATATATAGTGTAGGATCACTTTGTTCAATAAATGAATGAAAAACTATGTAATTGTTTTGTATTTGTTTCTGTTTTTTTTTCTATAATTATGACTGAAATGATCTCATCATATTTTGGGTCATATTTATGCTAAAGGGTTCACCGCCATTTAAGTAGCATGGTATACCCACTTCTAGCACCTCACACTCATTTTGGTTTTTAAGCCACACCCACTTTTGGTTTGTAATTTAAAAGAAGGGATTGAAAAATGTAAAGTTCAGGAATCTGAAGTCAAGGATTCAGTATCCTACTAACCCCAACCTGTTAATAGAATAAGAATCTGATCTAAAGCTGAATTTCAGTTCATAGTTGCACATATTAAACCTCAACTGTGTGTGCAATTAACCAGTATAAAACAACTTTGTAATTCTTTGTACATCATTGTTTAGGATGAACATCCAAACCCTGGAAAATATTTCAGTGGAACCCAACGCTACGCTTTCCTCCCTGACAACGATGAAGGAAGGCATGTGCTGCGGCTGCTCAAGAGGGCTTTCGATCAGAAACTGATCTTCACTGTCGGGACCTCCATAACCACTGGAGAAGAAAACACCATCATCTGGAACGACATTCATCATAAGACCAACACAAGTGGTGGGCCGCAGTGGTAAGAGTGACCTAAAGTTGACTTTTATGACATTTATATATAGTATATGGCAGTGTTTCCCCACCCGGTCCTCAGAGCCTCACAGACGATCCATATTTTTGCTCCAACCAAACTCACAACACACAGGGAGGAAGGGAAAATGTGGAGCGTCTGGGGGCCCTGAGGACCTGGTTGGAAAACACCAGTATGTGGTATATTTTTAGAAATTCTAATACGCCTGTCACAGTTTACAATGTTTTACAATGACAAATAGACCAAGAGAAACAGTCCAAAATGACTTAGAATAAATCTATTTTACACTGACTTACATAGAAAGTAAAAAACATTTTTTCCTTCTCTTGTAAAGTTTTTTTTTGGAGATACAAGATGACGATATATCAGCAATCAGATGTTTGAAATCACTTGCCTTATTAACATTTTTGTTATTTTATACACTATAATAACATATACAGTGTGAATGTATTACAATCTATATTACAATTCAAACACATTTTTAGATGTTTTATTCAATATTTCAAGAATTCTGTAAACAAGAAATGAATATCAGTTATATATTTATTATCTGCCTTGAGAATCAAACTCCATCTTTGAAACTTGATGAACTCTGGATAGTAATTTAATTAGAACTTCATTCTTGATGGTGTCCTTTAGATCTGCCTTCCTGAAGAGTTCAGTTCCATCTCATATTGAACACGTCTGATCCAGATCATCAGTTCACTTAACTATTTGAATCAGGTGTGTTAGATTTGGGCTGCAGCTGCATTCTGCAGGATGGTAGATCTCCAGGATCTCCAAGAGCAGAGCTGGTGACCATCTATCTACAGCTTTCGTATTTGGTTTAGAATCTTCTACAGCTCTGTTCATCATTGTGGACACTTTTATATGTACAGTAGTGTCTTAATGATGATCTGAAACCTGTGAGGTTGAATAGAACAAGCAGATTAGAATCATTTTCTACATTTATCTGCAATCAAATTTGTTTTATATTTGTTGAAAACAGTCATTCCAAAATATTTTATGTTGAAATTCTTTACTTGCACTACATGTAAATGTGTATATACTATTATGAATCAAACTATTATTTTTCTTTCCTCAGTTATGGCTATCCGGACCCCAACTACTTAAAGAGAGTGAAAGAAGAGCTGAAGGCCAAAGGCATCGAATGAAGATACAAAACAGCACACAATTCATATTCATGTTTTTTCTATGCAGTCACTTGTAAGTGGATTCTTGTCATTTTACCTCCTGTTGTTCACAATTACAGTCAAACTGAAATCAAACTGACCTTTTTAACCTCATTAGATTGTGTTCATATTCAGCATAATCCATCATATCATTTAAAGACTAAATTCTTGTTTTCTTGTAGTCTTCCCTCAAATTAGCAGGGGTGTTGTAAAGGGGGCCCAAATGGACCCTTAAAAGATAAGGCCTCAACAATAACATACACAGTGTGAATTTAAATATTACAATCTATTTTACACTCAAAAGATGTTTTTAGATATTTTATTCAATATTTCAAGAATTCTGTGAACATGAGGTGAATAAATTGTATGTACAGCATTTTTGAGTTTTAAATCAACAGTACTCTCTGTTTTTGTAATGTAATGTTCTCTTGACCCCTGAAACGTAAAAGTGTATCTCTAAGGTGAAGGTGAAGTAGGAAGTGGTCAGGTGTCCACTCTGTACACAAAGAACTCTCTCCGTCTTCCCCTTCTGTCTTCTATTACACAAAGTAAAGGACGGCTGCTGTGCTTAAATGATGTGAAAAATAAAGATAGAACAAAATGGAGATTTTTGTTGGTTGTTTTTTTTTTTTTCGGACAGCGATGATATGCCAGTCATGTTAGCCCGCAAGTTATAATTAGGGCAAGAGTAGATTCTTTAGAATTGTGTAAAAGTTGATGCCCAGCTCAGAATTATTGCGAAAATCTTGCCATACAGCAAAAGACCTCCTGTTTCTTCAGCCCTCTGTTCCAGTTATTGGAAATCTTAATGCTACATGCAGTTACATTGTAGAGAACTGTGTACTTCCAGCTGTGGGACAGTTATAAGGAAGACCCTTTACTGTTTCAGTAGGACAGCACCTCTGTGGACTTGGGATCAGTGTCGCAGTTTATCATTGTCGCAGTGTCGCAGTTTATCATTGTCACAGTGTCGCAGTTTATCTTTTTTTTCAAATGTTAATCATTTTATTCTGTTAATAAGTTTAATGAAAAATGATTCCCCAGATGTGAAAACATCGGTCACAAACTGAATCTTGACAAGTGAAACAGTCTTAAATCTAATTAATATATCTGAAATGTCTCATTCTGAGATTGTTATGAGCTTTTTATGAGATTTAATTTTTTTCAGACTTTTATTACTTGTTTTAATTGATTTTAGGAAGTCAAATGATCTCATTATAGTGACATATAACGTTGGCTGGTTTCAAGCACGTTTCTAACACCAAGCAAAATTATCTGCAAATATAGTGAGATCATTTGACTTCATAAAATCACTTAAAACAAGTAGAAAAGGTCTAGAAATAAGGTCAATAATTTTATAAAAAGCTTACAACAATCTTAAAATCTGATATATTTTATATGTAAGTGTCAATATATCAATTTAAAATCATTTCACTTGCCAAGATTCCATATTCGGCAGTAAATAAGAACAGCTGCACACTTTCAGTTTTGTTTTCTAATTGCGGAGAGCAGAGCAGCTGTGAGATCTTTAACAGTGCTGAGAGAGCTCAGTCCGGGTAAGAAACACAGCTCACTCACTTAATCATGGAGTTAGAAATGTTGGATTAGGAGAGAATTTAGAACCGCTTATCATTTAGCTACAATGCCCAGTGTGAGCGTGAGCAGAGTCACTGTTTGCGTTTTAAATACACTGAAACGTCTTACACTCAGCTGAGTGACTGTTAACCCACAATGTTGGAGCACAGCTTTCTCTAAATTTATGTTATATTTTGTTATGTATACAAACGTCAAATAAAAGCTCACTGTTCAGCCTGCAAACTGTAAAAGAAGTGAAAATGGTAGTGTTGCTACTCAGTGATGAGCATAGCTGGTCAGAAATATCTCAGTGGCCTAATATGAACAAATACCTCCCTCTAATGATATAAATAGCCTGTGTGTAAATAATCTGCCTGAATCCACTCTGGAGACCAGAGGCAGGGCTGAAGAAATCTGACCTTCTGTCCCCACAGCATGGACTAACAGTGACTCATTCTTAATTAGACTGAGAAGTTAGAAATAAGTCTGAATGTCTTTTGGCAGTTTGTATCAGCTTTAGAAGAGTTCTGCCTTTCTCAGAACTTAGATATGAGATATTTAAATGGGAAGTCCATTATTTTTTTCTTACCATCTTAATTATTATTTGGTTGAGACATAAACAGAGTCAGTCAGAGTAGTTTGGTGTGAAATGCTCCGATCTAGAGTCAGAATTGTTCACAGTGGTGGTGATAGGAACCAGACATCTGAAGGTCTACAAAGTTAGAAGAATGTTTTCTTTGGGGACTGTTTTGTGCCCTGTATGTACCTCTGCACACACATCTTCTAAACCACTTATCCTTCTGGGTCGTGGGGGTTGCTGGAGCCTATCCCAGCTGTCATTGGGCAGACAGGTCGCCACTCCATCGCAGGGCAGACAGACAGACATATATATCCACACACAATCACACCTAGGGGCAGTCAGCGTGTCCAATTAGCCTGACTGCATGTCTTTGGACAGGGAGAACATGCAAACTCCACACAGAAAGGATCCTGGTCACCTGGCTGGGAATCAAACCCAGGCCCTTCTTGCTGTGGGGTGTTGGGCAATGTATTTGTTACCATTTCATGTAATAACTTTCTGTGAGGGAGCTTTTAGAGGTGGACGTCTGGTTCCTATCACCATCACTGTGAACAATTCTGACGGTAAGTTTCTCTAGAACGAGCATTTCACACCAAACCACTCTGAATGACTCTGTTTACATCTCAAATATTGAATTAAGCAAATTGAGACTCTCCTCGATATACAAAATATATAACAGTATAATTTTTTAAATATTATTCATAAACTATATTTATTGTTATTTATTCATTAATTGTATTTTGTCCCAGTTTGTCAATTTTTTTTGTTAAGTTTAGTCCCCTGTTTCATGCTCTTTAAATATAAAAGTGATGTACAGAGCATTGCTTGAGTGTAATCTGTGAAATTCCTCTGTTTATGGAATGTCTAATTTTCAGTAGGCTCATTTAAGGTCATCTGTATTCATCAAAACGCAAACAAGGCTTAGAACACATTTACGCATGTGCTGTCAATCATATGCAGACGTTAGTGACCCACTGTTCCCAGATTTCTCGCTGATAAACACAGTTTCAAACCTTTTATTTTGTTCAGTCAGTAACAGATTATCATAGAGCAGCTGGGAGTATCAGAGTATGTGGGTGATAATATGGCTGTTTGTGGTTCTAGACTTTACAGGGTAATAAGTGTGAAAAAGAGACAATCATCAGTATGGATGTTGACTATCACAGCACAGTGAGTATCACTGATGATGTTAGTTAATTA